TGGAGTCACCATCCCTGGATGTGTTTAAGGGACGTTTAGATGGGGTACTGAGGGACATGGTGTAGGGGAGGACTTTGTAGAGTAGGGGAGATGGTTGGACTCGATGATCCCAAGGGTCTCTTCCAACCTGAATGATTCTATGATTCTACGATTCTATGAAAATAACCCGCTTTATCGGCAACTTACCGATGCCCATGATGGAAGGGTCACAGCCAGAGGAGTGATAGGCCACTATTCTTGCCAGAGGAGTAAGATTGTGTTTTTTAAGTGCTGATTCACTGGCGATGATGATCGCGCCAGCTCCGTCGCACACCCCCTTGCAATAAGAGAGAAAAGCATTTTTAGTGGAGAAAATAATAAATATGCCCCTCAAAAATAGCTCAAATCCAAGACCCTACTGTTAACTTTTAACAGGCAACTGGGTTAGTGTTTATTCAAATTAATTATTGAAAGGAGAATGGTTAATTCTAAAGATCCGCTGCGGTGCATAACTCAAGGCTGAGGAGGAAGTGTCAATGCCTCAGTAAAATGGGCTGCATCAGAAGAAGTGTGGCCAGCAGGTCTCAGGAGGTGATTCTGCCCCTCTACTCTGCACTCCTGAGACCCCACCTGGAATACTGTGTCCAGCTTTGGAGTCCTCAACACAGAAAGGACATGGACCGGCTGGAACAGGTGCAGCAGAGGGCCACGAAGAAGATCAGGGGGATGGAGCACCTCTCCTATGAAGACAGGCTGAGGGAGCTGGGATTGTTCAGTCTGGAGAAGAGAAGGCTCCAGGGAGACCTTAGAGCCCCTTCCAGTCCCTCAAGGGGCTCCAGGAAAGCTGGGGAGGGACTCTGGATCAGGGAGGGGAGCCATAGGAGGAGGGGGAAGGGTTTGACACTGAAAGAGGGGAGATGGAGATGAGATGTGGGGAAGAACTTCTTTGGTGGGAGGGTGGTGAGAGCCTGGCCCAGGTTGCCCAGAGAAGCTGTGGTTGCCCCATAGAATCATAGAATGGTTAGGGTTGGAAGGGACCTCAAAGATCATCTAGTTCCAACCCCCCTGCCATGGGCAGGGACACCTCCCACCAGAGCAGGTTGCTCAAGGCCACATCCAGCCTGGCCTTGAACACTTCCAGGGATGGGGCATCCACAATTTCCCTGGGCAACCTGGGCCAGGCTCTCACCACCCTCATAGTAAAAAATTTCTTTCTGATATCTAATCTGAATCTTTTTTCTTCCAACCCCTCCCATCCCTGGAGCAACCTAGTCTGGTGGGAGGTGTCCCTGCCCATGGCAGGGGGGTTGGAACTCGATGATCTTTGAGGTCCCTTCCAACCCAAACCATTGTATGATTCTATGAAAATAATAGTGACAATCCACAGAAGCAAATTTTAGGACACGGGAGCAGCCTGAAGGATCCCCTGTTGTCTTGGAGCTGGAAGAGCCAACCAGGGGCGTTCAACTGCAGAATTAGAAACCCCTTTCATCAGGAGACACCGGTGACAGCCAAAGGTGGCTCAGTGAGACATAAATACAACGACAATAAATTTGGAGAAGCTCAGAGGTGACACTGTCCCAGCCCAAGGCTTTGACGTACTCACTGAAGCATTCCCAGCCGTCACCGTTCCATCCTTTTTAAAGATCGACGGGAGCTTTGCCAGCTGTTCCAGGGTGGTTTGGGGTTTTGGGTGCTCGTCCTTTTGCATATTTTCTTTCCCCTTTTTCGTTTTCACTTCGATGGGTGCCATCTCAGCGTTGAAGTAACCAGCGTCCTGAGCTGCAACCCCAAAAAAATGAAAATAAAAGGGACTCCGATAAAAACACGGAGACGATTGCGCAGCGTGACCAATAATCCCATTTTTATGTGCACACAACTTTTGCTCTATTTTCACCAAGAGTTCAGGGACAGTACTGTTTATGCTTTATTTTGCTTAAACAGGGCTGGTTGGTGTTTTATTGTTTGTTTGTTATTTTAGAAACTGGGCACAAACTCTACAAATACATTCCTGTGGTTTTGCTTTATTCTATAGCTCTGTCACTTATCAGAGGGCCAAGAAGCTGCAAATCTCGCTCAGAGAGGAAGGTGGAAAAAATTCTAAGCCCCATTTTCTCTGCTGATAATCACCGTAATTTATTGTATATCAATTAAAATCCTGTCCAAGCTGCTCCTCCACAGGATCCCACAGTCAAGTCAGGATCTTAGAATGGGATTCAGACAATATCAAGACATCGTAGGTATCCAAGCATCTGGCCACATCACCTAAGGTGTCGTTAGATGCCAAATTTGGGCAATTAAATGCTACCTTTTGTGTCTGCAAGCACATAATAAGAGTCACATGGGGTTGGAAGGGACCTCTGGAGATCATCTAGTCCAACCCCCTGCCAAAGCAGGGCCACCCAGAGCAGGTCCCACAGGAATGTGTCCAGGTGGGGTTTGGATGTCTCCAGAGAAGGAGACTCCACCACCTCTCTGGGCAGCCTCTGCCAGGGCTCTGCCACCCTCACAGGAAAGAAGTTCCTCCTCATGTTCAGATGGAACTTCATATGTTCTGCCCGTTCCCTCTTGTCCTGTCCCTGGGCCATATCTGATGTTCTTATCTAAAATTGCCATATCTGATGTTTTTATCTAAAATTGCCATATCTGATGGTTTCTTAGCTACCTCTGAACTTTCTCAATAAATCCTACAAAATCTTCTTCTTTCCTGATTAGCCACAGGACTCTCCCTTTAGCGTGGAATAAGATGAACTGGTCATAACAAGCAGAAATTAAAACAGCCAGGCAAAATCCTAGAAAACAAGAAAGGAGCAAAAGCCTCTTCAGGGGCACTGTTTCTAGCAAAGGCTCCAGGAATGGCAGGAGTTAATTAACACGGTCAGCAGGAAAGGTAACACATAATTGAGAAAGCACTGCTACACCCATTGAAAAAAGTACAAAATCTTCCTCCAAGAGTAGCAGCTGTTAAAAACCACCATCATCAGAATGTAAAAGAAACCCAATATCTCTGAATTATGGTGATGGCCATGTAAACCACCCAAAGAAGAGTTTCAACAACGATCCCTTCTTCAGATTCCATCTGCTCAAGGGTTGTAGGACAGCATATGACTTGAAAAAGATCCCTGAGCTACACAAAACTTCAAGAAACCCACCAGATTTGAAACTAGTGTCATAAAAATACTTCCATTCCTAAATTTACTCACCAGCTTTGCATCTCTGTTGCGTTTTGAAGGCGTATCGGTCGCAGTCCTCCCGCGTGATGTTGTGTTTGGCAGCCAGATTTTCAGCTGTGATGGCCATCGGGATTTTAACGTGCGTGTCCGTCAGAGCCGCCCACAACGTGTCTTCCAACTGCATGGAACGTTATAAAAAAGAAAATTATAAAGCCCAGTAATATTAACATTTATTATTGACACTTTCTAATTGTCCAGCAGCCTCTTAGAAACTAACGTCTCCGTAAAATTAACTCGGGTTACTTAAAGGGATTTGATTTAAATTAGAACAAACACAGTGCAAGTTCTTGTTGTGTTATTTTAATTAACCTACATTGTGTCACCACTAAAGTTCTGCAAGATAAATCACTCCTTCACCAGCTGTATAATTCAATTATCTAAACGATAAGAACTCGGCGATGCCTATGGAGACTCATGGTCATCAGCAACCTGGGGAAGGTGTTCTCTGTAGGAACTGAGCTTTTGTCACAAGAGGGGCTCCATCCCCCTGATCATCCTTGTGGCCCTCCTCTGGACCCTCTCCATCAGCTCCATGTCCTTCTTCTATTGAGGGCTCCAGACCTGCACACAATACTCCAGGTGAGGTCTCACCAGAGCAGAGTAAAGTGGCAGAATCCCCTCTCTGGACCTGCTGGCAACGCATCTTTTGATGCAGCCCAGGATGGGATTGGCCTTCTGGGCTGCAGCTGCCCACTGCCTGCTCATGTCCAGCTTCTCCTCCACCAGCACCCCCAAGTCCCTTTCCTCAGGGCTGCTTTCTAATCCCTCACCCCCCAGTCTGTACTGATGGTGAGGATTGTTCCGGCCCAGGTGCAGAACCTTGCATTTGCTCTTGTTGAACCTCATGAGGTTCACCTGGGCCCACCTCTCCAGCCTGTCCAGGATGACATCCCGTCCCTCTGGTGTATCGACACCACCACACAGCTTGGTATCGTCCGCAAACTTGCTGATGGTGCCTTTAATATCCCTGTCTTTATCATTGATAAAAATGTTAAACAGCACCGGCCCCAGCACGGACCCTTGAGGAACACCACTTGTGACTGGTCTCCATCTGGACTTTGAGCCATTCACAGAGGAGAGTCAAGCATCCTTCATATTAACCATCACCATAATGGAAAAACAGCATAGAAAAGGGCTGAAACACTGAAATATCCCAATTTAGCATTTTGATGTCGGTTACGACCCGCTGAGTAAAGAGTAATTATCAGGGTAGAAGTGGGTCCCGCCGCAAATTTCCCCACAGGATTCACTAAGGATTTATCTTGAGAAGAAAATGTAAAAATAACTAAATAGATTTAACTTAACAGTTTTGGAAAAGCTACACAACAGAACCTCCTGTTTTGATGATGAACAAATGCTCTGAACAACTAAATGGGGATCTGATCTCCAATAATTCCATTTGAAAGGATCAAATACTCTACGTTACTCCGTAAACATGACTTTATACAGAGGAAATTAAAAAAAAAAGTGAAAAACCAGAGTACTAGACCTTGAGTTCTGCTCCTAATCTGGTTCCAAAGCGAATGTTTCGAACTGCGTAAGGAGCCTGGCTCATGTTTTCAGCTCCACCGCACAGAACGATTTCTGACTCATTAAGGCAAATTTCCTGTGTAAAAGAAAACCAAAACAGATCAAAAATTTAGTTTGCTGTTTTTGTTAGAAAAAGCCCTCATCACCTACAAAGCCACACATGGAGAACGTATTCATGCTTAGCCCTGTGTATTATTTTTAATACTATTAAAGGGTTTACCCTTTTTATTAAAATTGGGGTCTGCCTCTTTCGTTACACGTTCCTTCTTCCTCCTTTCAGCCAGGAATGATTATGTTAATGAGGGAAAGGAGAAAATGGGTGCACACGTATGACAGGACTGATGAACAAAGCCATTAGTGGTTAGGTTTAGGGCTTTATTTTCTGAGCTCCCAATATTCTCAAAAGGAACGCAAATTAAACCTCAAAGCCTTGTGGTTCGAAGAATAAAAATGGAAAAAAAATCATTTTAGAAAACATTAGTCAGGTAAGCTGCCAAAAGAAACCCCCAAAATGCACTAATTCAAAGACCTAATTACTAAATGCATCATCAGACCACTCGAAAATTCTGCTTCCTTAAAACGATTGGCCCAGTCGGACAGTTATTCGTGTCCCGGAATGGGAGCAGATGAAATGATCTTGATGTTCATTTAAGATGACTAGTTAATAATTAGCATGACTGATTTGGAGTAATACGTGCTGAGATGCTTCCTATCATTACCAAAAACTCTTGTGCACATTTAAGCAGCTCGGAATAGAAGCTGCAGCTTTGGTTTTTGCAGGAGAAATACAGAAACATTAGGTCCATCGATGAAACGCCGGCTTTGGAAGAGACCTCCCAACCATATTTCAATATTCCCCAACAGATTTTATCTACATTGGCTTCCAAAAGTTTTCCTTTAGAAGATCAGATCTAAAACAGTTCTCCAGCCGATGGCAACTTTTTTAAATTAAAAAAAAAATCCTTATATTGATAAAATACCCTTTTATTTTGAAAAGTCTAGACCAGCGCTAGTCGGAGATGACTGATCTCTATGAGCAAATGAAATAAAACCCAACCTTGAATGAAATAAAAATCAAAACCATCTTAGTGGTTTTGGAAATTACTCATAAGAAGTTGATTTTCTTCTGTTTTAGAAGAAGTGACACTATAAATTAGCTAACCCATGAGAGGGTTTGGATCTTTGAATTAAAAAAAACATCTAAAAAGCACAGGTTGCTCTCTAGATGAGAATATCAACATTGATCAGAAGATTAAAGTCTCCTGTTGTGGTTCTGACACCCAGTAATCCCAGTTTATAGAATCACAGAATGGTTTGGGGTGGAAGGGACCTTAAAGATCATCCAGTTCCAACCCCCTGCCCTGGGCAGGGACACCTCCCACCACACCAGGTTGCTCCACTCCCATCCAACATGGCCTTGAACCCCTCCAGGGATGGGGCAGCCACAGCTTCTCTGGCCAACCTGGGCCAGGCTCTCACCACCCTCACACCAAAGAAGTTCTTCCCCACATCTCATCTCCATCTCCCCTCTTTCAGTGTCAAACCCTTCCCCCTCCTCCTATGGCTCCTCTCCCTGATCCAGAGTCCCTCCCCAGCTTTCAGATCCTGGAAGGCTGCTATAGGTCTCCCCATATCTTTCTCTTCTCCAGGCTGAACCCCCTCAACTCTCTCAGCCTGTCCTCACAGCAAAGGTGCTCCAGCCTTCTGAGCATCCTCATGGCCTCCTCTGGACCCATTCCAACAGGTCCAAGGTCCTTCTTGCGTTGAGGACTCCAGGGCTGGACACAGTTCTCCAGGTGGGATCTCACGAGAGCAGAACAGAGGGGTAGAATCACCTCCCGTGACCTTCTGGCCACGTTTCTATTGATGCAGCCCAGGATGCTGGGGGGAAGCTTTCATACAAACAAGGTCAAAGGATGCCACCATTTCACAACTGAGCTCTGTCACCTCCTGTGACCTTCTGGCCACGCTTCTATTGATGCAGCCCAGGATGCGGAGGGGCTTTCATATAAACAAGGTCAAAGGATGCCACCATTACACAACTGAGCTCTATTTCACTTGTTGCATTCCTTATATTAAACTCAAAAATAGCTACAATGATGATTTTTGAAACCAACCACAATTTATGGCACTGTGGAGGCTGAAATCTTGCACAAAACCACGCAGGGCAATAAAAAGTCTCCACCAGTAGTAACTAAAAATCCATGATAAGACTCATCCCAAACACAAAGTTCACGTTTCTACAACATGTCTCTTAACAGTCTGATAAAGGTCACAACTACTCCAGAAAAAAAACCCAGAACTTTGTACCTGACATCCACTGGCAATGGACTGGAAACCAGAGCCACAAAGTCTGTTGACAGTGAGGGCTGGAACTGGGACAGGAACTCCCACGCGTAAACCAACGTGTCTGGCGATGTAAATGGCATCTGCGGCGCTCTGCGGGGAGAAGAAAGAGGAGGTCTTGTTACACTCTAACTTCTTCAGAAAGTAGAAGTCTTGATGAAAGCTCAGAAAGGTTTAATCGTATCCTTTATGAAGATGTATCAAGTATGGTTCAACAGAAATCCTGCTAGTCTTAAGAAACACTTTGGTTGACAGAAGCACAGAATGATAGGTGGTTGGAAGGAACCTTTGGAGAACATCTAGTCCAAAGCAGGGCCACCCACAGCAGGTCCCACAGGAACGTGTCCAGGTGGGGTTGGAATGTCTCCAGAGAAGGAGACTCCACCACCTCTCTGGGCAGCCTCTGCCAGGGCTCTGCCACCCTCACGCGAAAGAAGTTCCTCCTCATGTTGAGATGGAACTTCTGATGGTCAAGTTTGTGCCCATTTCCTCTTGTCCTGTCCCTGGGCACCACTCAAAAAAGCCTGGCCCCATCCTCCTGACATCCGCCCTTCAAGTATTTATAGGCCTTGATCACATCCCCCCTCAGTCTGCTCTTCTCCAGACTCAAAAGACCCAAGTCCCTCAGCCTTTCCTCACCAGAGAGATGCTCCAGGCCCCTCCTCATCTTTGTAGCGCTCTGCTGTCCCCTCTCCAGCAGTTCCCTCGCCTTCTGGAACCGGGGAGCCCACAACTGGACTCAGTGCTCCAGATGGGGCCTCCCCAGGGCAGAGCAGAGGGGCAGGATGACCTCCCTCCACCTGCTGGTCCCACTCTTCCTCGTGCCCCCCAGGATGCCATTGGCCTTCTGGGCCACCAGGGCCCATTGCTGGCTCATGGGCACCCTGTTGTCCACCAGGACTCCCAGGTGTTTCTCCTCAGAGCTGCTCTCCAGCAGGTCACCCCCACCCTGTCCTGGTGCAGGGGGTTATTCCTCCCCAGGTGCATCACCCTACGCTTGCCCTTGTTGAAGTTCATCAGGTTCCTCTCTGTCCAACTCTCCAGCCTGCCCGGGTCTTGCTGGATGGTGGCACAGCCTTCTGATGTGAAAACCACCCCTCCCAGTTTTGTAACTTGCTGAGGGTACATTGTCATCAGGTTCCTCTCTGTCCAACTCTCCAGCCTGTCCAGGTCTCACTGGATGGTGGCACAGCCTTCTGATGTGAAAACCACCCCTCCCAGTTTTGTAACTTGCTGAGGGTACATTGCATCCTTTCATCCACGTCATTGATGAATATAATGAAGAGGACTGGACCAAGTATGGACCCCTGGGGGATACCACTTGTTAGGGACCTCCAACTGGATTCTGTTCTACTAATCATGACCTTCTGAGCTGTCTTTCAGCCAGTTTTCAATCCACCCCATTGTCCATTCACCTAACCCACACTTCCTAACCTCACCTATGAGGATGCTGTGGGAGACGGTCTCAAAAGCCTTGCTGAAGACAACATCTTGGTAGACAACATCCACCACCTTCCCTTCATCTGTCCAACCAGTCATGCCATCGTAGAAGGCTATCAGGTTAGTCAGACATCACTTCAAAATTCAAGATTCACTTCAAAAAGTCACCATCCTTTATGATCAAAAAGGACCAATCTCTTAATATGCATTTTAAACATCTTTTCTAAACAGAGAGAACACTCATGCTGTTGGGGATCATGCCCTGAGCTAATACATATTATAAAGACAAAGTTCTGTCTTCTTGCCAATGCAAATTCAGAAAAAAAAAAATAAAAATAATTTATTCAAGACACTTCTGCTGAAAAAGGGGAGTTTAAAATGGTCGTACGTTCATTTAAACTCCACCATAAAACACTTGAAAGGAATCCAGGACTAAAAAAAGAAAATCTGTCAGGATGGGGAAGTATGATGCAAAGGAAAAGAAATATTTCAACATAAAAAGGCTTTTTTTTTCATTAGGAAAACGTTACTTTTTTTTATGTGAAAACATTACAAGAGATTCGTCAGGATGGGGAAGTATGATGCAAAGGAAAAGAAATATTTCAACATAAAAAAGGCTTTTTTTTTTCATTAGGAGAGTGTTACTTTTTTATGTGAAAACATTACAAGAGCTTTAGGGGAGTTTAAAATGGTCGTACGTTCATTTAAACTCCACCATAAAACACTTGAAAGGAATCCAGGACTAAAAAAAGAAAATCTGTCAGGATGGGGAAGTATGATGCAAAGGAAAAGAAATATTTCAACATAAAAAGGCTTTTTTTTTCATTAGGAAAACGTTACTTTTTTTTATGTGAAAACATTACAAGAGATTCGGATGCTGCAATATTTTTGCTCTAGGCCACAAAGACTTCTTACAAAACCTACAAAAGCTGAATCCAAGAAGCTGAGATGGCAGCTGTAGGAGATAGGAGAATTAAAAGTGATTCTTTTGGCTGAAAATCCTTAAGGAATGCTGCGTGTCTGCTCACTTCCCACAAAAGTTGTCAGGGTTTTGTTTCTTCTGCATGCAAAAGCATCTACATCACAAGGTCTTTGGAAAACATATGGTTGTCCAAGTATCTCTGCATCCCTCAAAATCAAAGTAAACCCAGATTGACCCCAAAAATTCCATAAAAAACTCTAAGGACTCACATCAGTTACAGTCTCCAGAAAGAAAGGGGTTTATTCAATCCAGTGAAAACTCACTGGTCATCAAGCTACAAAGCTCAAGCCTTTAAGAAGAACTTCTTTGGTGTGAGGGTGGTGAGAGCCTGGCCCAGGTTGTCCCGAGAAGCTGTGGGTGCCCCATCCCTGGAGGGGTTCAAGGGCAGGTTGGAGGGGGCTTGGAGCAACCTGGGCTGGTGGGAGGTGTCCCTGCCCAGGGCACGGGGTGGAACTGGATGGTCTTTAAGGTCCCTTCCAACCCAAACCATTCTGTGATTTTACGATAACCAACACAGGGAGGTCATGGACCTGTTGGAGAGGGGCCAGAGGAGGCCACGGAGATGATCCATGGGTGGAGCCCCTCTGCTGGGAGAGTTAGGGGGGTTCAGCCTGGAGAAGAGAATACTCCGGGGAGACCTTAGAGCCTGTTCCAGTCCCTCAAGGGGCTCCAGGAAAGCTGGGGAGGGACTCTGGATCAGGGAGGGGAGCCGTAGGACGAGGGGGAAGGGTTTGACACTGAAAGAGGGGAGATGGAGATGAGATGTGGGGAAGAACTTCTTTGCTGGGAGGGTGGTGAGAGCCTGGCCCAGGTTGCCCAGAGAAGCTGTGGCTGCCCCATCCCTGGAGGGGTTCAAGGGCAGGTTGGAGGGGGCTTGGAGCAACCTGGTCTGGTGGGAGGTGTCCCTGCCCAGGGCAGGGGGTGGGAATGGATGGCCTTTAAGGTCCCTTCCCCCCCAAACCATTCTATGATTCTATGAAAATAGGAAAAATGTACCAGGAATCCACATTTTTCATGAATCCACATTTTTTAGATGAGCTTGTCCTAGTTGAAGCCACTTTTGGTACTAAAAATAGAAACCTCAGTCTTGCTCCCAATAATATCACAAATCATGGAGGGTACGTCCCTTAAACATGAAGAGGAAACACTACACCATTAAAGCTACTTACTCGTTCCATCTCCACCCCTTTGGTTTATTCTTGGCTGCAGAGCAGAAGTAACTATCTATAGGACCACACCGAAGGAGAGGATGGAAATAATCACCCACCAGCTAATTTTCCATGCTACTGACCTGCATGACACTGCCGACAACGACGCTGTCAATCATCTCTGGAGAGACCTTGCCAGCAGCCAGAGCAGCTCGAGCAGCATGTTCTGCCAGATCGGTGGCCGTGAAGTCCTTCAGCAAACCTCCGTAGGTCCCAAAAGGAGTCCTCTTCGCCGCAACAATGAACACACCTGCAACAGAAGCAAGAGTTATCCAGATCTGCAGAGCCTAACAAAAAGAAAAATCACCAAGGACAGCCTCAACTGGACCATATCCTAAATTTACAAAAAATATCACAGAATCTCAGAATGATTTGGGGTTGGAAGGGACCTCTGGAGATCATCTAGTCCAAATCCCTGCCAAAGCAGGGCCACCCAAAACAGGTTGCACAATAATCCCTGCCAAAGCAGGGCCACCTAGAGCAGGCCCCACAGGAACGTGGCCAAGCAGGGTTGGATGTCTCCAGAGAAGGAGACTCCACCACCTCTCTTGGCAGCCTCTGCCAGGGCTCTGCCACCCTCACAGGAAAGAAGTTCCTCCTCATGTTGAGGTGGAACTTCTTATGGTCAAGTTTGTGCCCATTCCCTCTTGTCCTGTCCCTGGGCACCACTGAAAAAAGACCAGCCCCATCCTCCTGACACCCACCCTTGAAGGATTTATAGGCCTTGATCAGATCCCCCCTCAGTCTTCTCTTCTCCAGACTCAAAAGACCCAAGAAGTCCCTCAGCCTTTCCTCATCAGAGAGATGCTCCAGGCCCCTCAGCATCTTTGTAGCCCTCTGCTGTCCCCTCTCCAGCAGTTCCCTCTCCTTCTGGAACTGGGGAGCCCACAACTGGACCCAGTGCTCCAGATGGGGCCTCCCCGGGGCAGAGCAGAGGGGGAAGATGACCTTCCTCCACCTGCTGGTCTCACTCTTCCTGATGTCCCCCAGGATGCCATTGGCCTTCTTGGCCAATGGCACAGACATGTGAAGCCACGCAGCCCAAGATAACTAAAGATATAGCAATACTTTGGATTGGGAAGATACACAGAATTAATGGGTAGAAAAAAAGCTAGGAAGATTCCAGAAATAAGTCTTTTCCACAAAGAGGTGGAAAAAAAACAGGTAGTTTGGATACTGGGCAGAGAAGAGGTTGCCACACCACACCACTAAAAGCATAAAAGTAACACCCATATAAATCCATAGTGGACATATGTGAAATAAGCAGATGAGGAACTGTTAAGAAACAAAGAGGCCATTCCCTCAACCTAGAAAAAAACAGCAGATTTTTGGTTTATACTCTGAAAGTTTTCACAAAGAAAAATAATAAAAAAGCAAGCAAACCAAAAACCTGTTTTCTGTGCATTTTAATTTTGATTCCTTTAACTTAAGAGGACAAAATACCTACTCAGAAACTTCACAGTATTTCCAGATTGATCTAGATCATTTCTGAGAAGAAAATCCCGTTTTCAACAGGCATCCTTTGTACAAATGCATCGGCCAGAAGGAATCTATATGAATTTCAAGCTCGGGAGAAGCTGCCCCTGAACCAAACCTGACTCCCCGGGGCAGAGCAGAGGGGGAAGATGACCTTCCTCCACCTGCTGGTCTCACTCTTCCTGATGTCCCCCAGGATGCCATTGGCCTTCTTGGCCAATGGCACAGACATGTGAAGCCACGCAGCCCAAGATAACTAAAGATATAGCAATACTTTGGATTGGGAAGATACACAGAATTAATGGGTAGAAAAAAAGCTAGGAAGATTCCAGAAATAAGTCTTTTCCACAAAGAGGTGGAAAAAAAACAGGTAGTTTGGATACTGGGCAGAGAAGAGGTTGCCACACCACACCACTAAAAGCATAAAAGTAACACCCATATAAATCCATAGTGGACATATGTGAAATAAGCAGATGAGGAACTGTTAAGAAACAAAGAGGCCATTCCCTCAACCTAGAAAAAAACAGCAGATTTTTGGTTTATACTCTGAAAGTTTTCACAAAGAAAAATAATAAAAAAGCAAGCAAACTAAAAACCTGTTTTCTGTGCATTTTAACTTTGATTCCTTTAACTTAAGAGGGCAAAATACCTACTCAGAAACTTTGTGCTACTTCCAGATTGATATAGATCATGTAAACTGGATTAGCATCAGTCTTCCAAGTTTCTGAGAAGAAAATCCAGTTTTCAAAAGGCATCGTTTGTATAAATGTATAAATCTATATGAATTTCAGCTCAGGAGAAGCTGCCCCTGAACCAAACCTGTGCTGGGCACAGCAGCTCTCTGCTTCTGCAGGCAGAAACGAGTGGGAAGCAGGCTGTGACCTTTCCCCCAGTTAAAGACCAGAGCTCACCTCCCCTTTCCCACAGCATGCCAGTGAAGGTCAAGCCTGCTCCGCTGACAAGGACTCGAACACGAGGTTGGGATCTCAAACAGCCAGTAATTCAATTTAATCCGAAATAATTTTTAATCCATTGACCGAAAACTTCTAACTTTGTACATATTTTTTCAAAAAAAGCTGAAAACGACTCACAACCACAAGCTGTGAAGCCCTACAAGGTTTTTTTTAAACACAGGTGAGGATGCTTTAACTGATTTATGTTTATGAAAAACAGGTGTGTTCAATAAAGTCACTGCAGAATTAGTCCCTGGACTCTTAAGTATTCAGGTGACGGGTTTAAATTTAGACCAGTAGTTTCCATTTAACTACCCAAAATGCATTGTACTAACAACATTTTATTGAATGTTAAGTTTGAGCCTTCATTTAAAGTGTTAACAACACTTTTGAGGATTAGCTCATGTTCCTAAGCTTATCTTCCCTGCAGCAAAGCAGGCCTGGACACTCGTCTTGCCACCACTTGCCCACCTATTCCTGTCCCTCTGCCTCCTCCAAAATCGTGCCAGCAACAGCCCACGACAAGGTTTTGCTGTGGAGCAGCTCAAAGAACTTGTTCCCCTCCCTTTGGGCCAGGTTGTTGCTTATTCAGGTGATTATTTGCTAATTCACATACACCCTGTTACCTTACAAACAAACAGCCCCAGGGGAGGATGGAACTTTGCCCTTAAAACGTTTCTTTCACAATAATAACAACGTGTCTCTTTCGCTGAGGTTGCTGTCGCTGCGTAAACCAGAGCAGATCACGCTAAAACTAACTGCAGGAGCTGAAGACAAACCCAGGGTTGGTGGAAAATGAAGGGTTAATTTTCATTTGGAGCAGTTTCGCGCCTGAGTTCACCCTCTGCCTGCTCAATAAACCACTCATTCGAAGGCTGGATTGAACCAGCAAGGGAAGAAGCAGCAGCATCACAACCCATGTTTGAGTTACGCTGAATTAAACTGACCACAGAGCTGTTCCCCTCAGGGTATGTTACTCCAAAGCCTGCCTAATTTTGCTTGATTGGAGAGACTTCTACAAAGGCTGGTCCCTCCACAAACCTTCAGGAGGGGCAACAAGGAACAGCTCGAGTCCTGAGTGAAGAAGGACCCTACAGCCTTTGACAGCTCTCCCTAAGTGCCCATTAATTAGTACCATCCTATATTAGCATGGTAAGATCCAGAGTCTCCACAATTTTCCAAGGTGATAAACATTGGGTGAGAGCAGAACACTAATGAACACATATGGATCTGGAAGCTTTTGGGGCTAGAAAGCTAAGGTCACTCTGGTCAATCAAACACTCAATTCAAGACATCTTTAAAACTGTCTTTTTTTTTAATGGTCTGAAACATTCTCTAACCCTCCAGCCTTTCTCAAACGCGCTTGGTATGAAAACATTTCTTCACCAGATCCCATTAACCTCAAAAAACAATTAAGGAGCAATAACATGGTGGTGAGAGAGGAGAGGAGATCCTGAAACAGGCACACAAGAACGAACAGCAAACAAGTACAGGCAATGATCTGAAAAAGAAACTTTCAGTCACTGAGTGTCACCTCAAGTGTCACTTCTAGTCATTGTACATAGACCTGGCTAGTTATTGGACACATATATATACATATATGCACTCTTGGCTATAGGTTTGCTTGTACCGTGGCTGCTTTAAGCACTACAGGAAGTCAACCACAGTATATTCAATATAAATTCAAACAGTGCTCCGTACAGACCAACAGTGCATCCCCTTCCCCACCCTCTTCCCCCAACCCGTCTATCGCACAGGGCACGGACAGGCCGGCAGGGAGGCAGATCCCCATCCCGAGAGGGACAGGAACGGCTTCAGAAGCTCCATGGTGGATTTTCTGAAGGACATCAGGATGGGTCCCTACAGCCGGACCTGTCCCGGCCTGGCCCACCCCGGGCAAGGCCGATGGGGCCTTCGCCTCAGCCCCGGCCCGACCTCAGCGAGCCAGCCCGGGCCCCGCGCCGATGGGGCCTTCGCCTCAGCCCCGGCCCAACCTCAGGGAGCCAGCCCGGGCCCCGCTCCCTCTCAGGGAGCCATGGACCCGCTCTCTCTCTCTCCTCCCCTCAGGGAGCCATAGACCCACTCTGTCCCCTCAGGGAGCCACGGACCCGCTCTCTCTCTCCTCTCCTCAGGGAACCATGGACCTGGTCTCTGTCCCCCTCAGGGAGCCACAGACCCGCTCTCTGTCCCCCTCAGGGAGCCACAGACCCGCTCTCTGTCCCCCTCAGGGAGCCACAGACCCGCTCTCTGTCCCCCTCAGAGAGCCACGGACCCGCTCTCTCTCTCCTCCCCTCAGGGAGACATAGACCCTCTCTCTCCCCCTCACAGAGCCATGGACCCGCTCTCTCTCCCCCTCAGAGAGCCATGGACCCGCTCTCTGTCCCCCTCAGGAAGCCATGGACCCACTCTCTGTCCCCCTCAGGGAGCCATGGACCCACTCTCTGTCCCCCTCAGGGAGCCATGGACCCACTCTCTGTCCCCCTCAGGGAGCCATGGACCCGCTCTCTGTCCCCCTCAGGGAGCCATGGACCCACTCTCTGTCCCCCTCAGGGAGCCATGGACCCACTCTCTGTCCCCCTCAGGGAGCCATGGACCCACTCTCTGTCCCCCTCAGGGAGCCATGGACCCACTCTCTGTCCCCCTCAGGGAGCCATGGACCCACTCTCTGTCCCCCTCAGGGAGCCATGGACCCACTCTCTGTCCCCCTCAGGGAGCCATGGACCCACTCTCTGTCCCCCTCAGGGAGCCATGGACCCGCTCTCTGTCCCCCTCAGGGAGCCATGGGCTCGCTCTCTCTCTCTCTTCCCCTCAGGGAGCCATGGTCCTGCTCTCTCTCTCTGCCCCTCAGGGAGCCATGGATCCGCTCTCTGTCCCCTCAGGGAGACACGGACTCGCTCTCTCCACCCTCAGGGAGCCATGGACTCGCTCTCTCCACCCTCAGGGAGCCAGAGACCCGCTCTCTCTCTCTTCCCCTCAGGGATCCATGGATCCGCTCCCTCGTCCCTTCAGGGAGCCATGGACCCGCTCTCTCCTCCCTTCAGGGAGCCATGGACCCTCTCTCTCTCTCTTTCTCCCCTCAGGGAGCCACGGACCCGCTCTCTCTCCCCCCGCCGGCTGACAGGAGCTCACCCCTCAGGAGCGCCATGGCCGCCGTCTGCCTCCCCCGCGCCTCGCCCGCCGCACATTCGCCATGCTGGGGGCGGAAGGGGCGGGCGAGGGGCGGGCGGCACATTTTCACTTATTTAAAACTTCATAATTTAAAAAGTATTATTATTTCTTTTCCAATTAGTCCGATTTCTCCTGCCTCACTCACCTGCTTCGCACCTGGACGGGGCGGCGCGGGCCGTGGCGAATCGGCGGCGGAGAAAAAAAAGATGGCGGCGCGGCGCCCCCCCCCACCCGCGACGTTGCCATGGCAACGGCGGCCTTGGCGGCCGGGAGGGTTGCTCCCCTTATTTCTGAGCCAAAGTCACCCTCTGAGCGCATCTCCCCTCATTCCCAGGGTGGCCACACCCCCCCTCAACTCCTCACCTGGTGTTTTAATGGAGGTTTGTACCCCGAGCTTCTTCACAGCCCATGTCTGGCCCCATTTCCCAGCTTTCCAGCCTTTCTGGACATGGATGGAGAAGACAGAAGACTTAGATGGCCTTTGCCATGTCCCCTGTCCATTGTAATCTCCATGGTTGTGCAGAGTGGATCCACAAAAACCACCCTTCAATGCTCCGCTGGTTAAAAATGCATGTTGGGGTACAATTTCTGTATGTAAATCCCTTGAGTGGAACCATTCAGACTGGCTGGCAGGAGATGGGAGGATGACTACAGTCATCAGTCCAAAATGTTTATTTCATGTACAAATTAAAGTTGCTGTATGTCTTCACTGATGCAATTTTGAGTTGTGTAAATTTTCCAGAAGAATAAAACATTTTCCTGTGAACCATCTCATTTTTGATTCATATCTTTCGACTGCTTTCCCTACATAATTCCCATGACTTCATGAATCTCTAGGTTCAGCCACATGCAACTTTGTCTTTAAAAAAAGCAGAGGGTTTTACTATATTTTTATATATATATTATATATATATTTACTATATTTTCTCTCCCTGCCATTGATTTGCACAGGGGTTGACGCTGCATCTCCTCTTCTCCATTCATTCGCAATGGCCTTTGAAGACTCCCCACTCTAATTGTTTCTAATTAGCTTACAATATTTAAGCACCTCTGGCATTAAGTTATAACTTCTGCACCTTTCAGCAGTCTTAAGTGAAAGCTTTCAGACTGTTTGAGTTTGTAAAATACGTTGTAATTTTTAAATAGAAACGTTTCCAGTATACAGAAGTATTGAAAGGTGTATTTTTACATTCCCAGTTTCGACCAAAAGTCACAATTTCTTCAAAAGTGTTTATTTCACAAATTTCTTTATCCACAGCTGAATATTACAGTGACTATTACAAGCATTTTTTTTTTGTTTTCTATAAACAAAGGTGTAGTTTACAGATTTGTTCAAAATGGAAAAATATTTTATAAGCAGTAGTATTTCATCTACAGTATTCACTCCTGTATATCATTCAACTTCTTTGAGAGCAGCTATACCTTCTGCTTGTTAAGGTAATGAGACTTCCCAATTCCCCCCCAAAAAACCCCCAAACAAATAAACAAAATAAACATTGCACTTTAGCAGCACTTTTTTTTTTTTTTTTAATAATTCGGTCTGGGTTTTTCTTCTCATTTCAACTTAATTTGTATGTCTTTGTCCACTGGCATTTACATTTTGAAATAAATTATATACTCACTGGGGAATACGTCCTCTGGGTTGTTTTACTTACCATCTACCTTGCTAGAATTTATTTCAGGAAAAAAAGTAGTATATCAATTTATGACTGCAATATTTATCTGAATCAATAAAGTTGGAGGGAAAAGGTAGGTCATGCAATTCATTTTAACGAGGTTGTATTTATATGCAAGAGCAAAATGTTAATTTTTCAGTTAAATACGGTCTGAAATACTAAGTTTGAACGGGTCTTGTTCATTTACTGTTGAAAATGGAGAAAACGTCGTTTCAAGTGCAGCTTTTTCACTTGTATCTTTTGCAAATCACACAGGTGGAGGGTCATAATGTTGCAAAGACTTTAGGTGGTGGCCTGATTTCAGTATTTAAGGAGAGATAACCACTCCGTAAGGCTTAAAATCTGCAACGTGCCCACCTTTTGTTACTGTTTCACCCATAAGACAAGTCCTTTTAGATATAGTGGAACAAATTATAAGCAAAAAACATTTATGCCTTAAAATTGCATAAATTCAGTCTTGAGGTCTAATTCGACTGTCAACAACTACACAACAGCTTTCCCAGCCAAAAGGTGAGCAACCTCAGCTACAAAATGCCAATAAAAGAAAAAAGAAGATGAAAAAAAGCAATTTTTTAGTGAAAATGAAGGTGTGTGTTGTTCTGGAAGCTTTTAATAGCTCAGACAGCCCATACCTGAACTCGCCTTTGAAGTGTTGGTTTCATAGTGTTGGTTGGTTGTGTGATTTAAGGGGTTTTTTGGGAGGTTCTTTTTAAATTTTAATTATTTTTTATTATTATTATTCCCAATAGTGCTTTTCTGAGATACATTATACACGCAAAAATCAGGATGGGTCCTATTTTCCTAGGAACTCCAAACTGGTTTTGCAGACTTCCTCGGAGTAAGATTTTACAAGGAGATTTATAAATCCACAGCAACTTTTTTTCTTGTGTGTTTGTGTGACAGAACAATAAAAATATTCCCACTTTTTAATGCTCGTTTCAGAGAAAGGGTGGTTGAGAAGGCCGTTACCTTAGTAACGGCGAAAGGCACGCAGTGGGGAAATGCCCAACTTCATAATCAATATTTAAAAATAAAAGAGAGAGCTGGAAAAGAGCCAGCTTCCTCGACGCCGTGCTTTGTGCTCAATTTGCTTTTTAAACAAAGAAGTTTCCATCCGAGGAAAGAAAGGCATGTTTGAGCATAACGATTTCAGAAAATGAACATTTAAAACCAAATTTTTAAAACTGCTAACAGAAAAAAACAATATATGTTAAAGATATTTCATGTGGAATCCTCTTCCAGATGGATGTTGATGGTTAAACTCCATTATGACAGATCAAGACATCCCAATTTCTCTCTCTAGGTACCAAGAGTTTTTAAGAAAGTCTTTTTGTTGCAGGTATAAATTACAATTCTGAAAATACCAGTGAAAAGACCGTTATCCTTTAGAAGAAGAGCATGAACCACATTTTCTAATTACCATTGACGACAAAAATTGTCGTGGAAAGAGGATTCTGCAGCAACCTGTCATTTAGCCTCAACCATAAACGTTGGGAATTTGTACTCTGAATAATTTACATCGGAGAGAGGTAGAGACCAGAAGAGCCTGAGAGGAAAATTGCAGCTTAAGGTGAATTTTAAGAAATAGCACTACGTTAAAACCACCCAAATTCTGCTTTGAATTGGTTTTTTTAAGCCGTGGTGACTACTGTAGGGTGGAAAATGGGGCTAAGATGTAATTTAAAAAAAAAATTAAATACAGAGCATGGCAAAAAAACCTATTAATTTGCAAACCTTGAAAAAAAAGAGGTAGGTACCATAAATAAAAATACCAAGTGACAGAAAAGTGTGGGCTTGTTGGGCAGGGACAGCAAAAGGGTGGCCTTGTCCTCATCGTAGGTGAAGGGGAGATGAAGGCACTACTGGATACACGCAGTAGATGCAAACGCCGTGGGGCTGTGGTGTGGAGGTAGTGCTGGTACTACACAAGCCATACATTTTCTGCTGTAATTAGCTGGGTGATGCTTAAGAGGAAGAGACAACTTCTCCCTAAGGAATGGCCTTCAGTCTGTCCTTCACTGGGAACAGCCCTAATAAACCATAGTCCGTTTGATTCACCCACCAGCACAGACCTGTATAATTCATAGCATTCCATTTTTGTTTTTTTTTTCTTTAAAAATGTGCTTTTGGATAGTAATATACATATATAGTACATACAGGACTATTACAGTTTGTATATACATAGATTATATACACCATGTTTAGGGTCAAAACACGCTCCTCATCTGAAAATATGACTGCGGCATTAGTACATCTTAATTTTAGAGTATCTTAATTTAAGAGACTTCCCATTTTAATTTTCTATTAAATTTTCTATTTTAATCCTCTGAGCAGGCAGAGGCCCTGGTCCTAAACTTGCTGTTTTGGGGCAGAAGGGAACCTGTTGCCACAGGTCTCGGGAACCCACCTCGTCCCCCCGGCTCAGGGAGGAGAGCGGCTCCGTAGGAACTCAAGAATTCAACGTGTCTGGGTAAGTAGGGAGAAAAAAAATCAATGGCTGCATCTACCTGGTGAGGTCAGAGGGTTGGTTTGTTTTGATTTATTCATTAGGTAAGAAAAAAATCCTAATAGAATTTGAATTGATTGCAATTGTTCGTTTAAGGGTGTTGTGTTCACTCTTGGCTTACATTATTGACACACCGTCTTCTGTGTTAAAACATTCCATTGCTTATCCATTCCCTTTTGTTTTAAATTATTATTCTTTTTAAAGTATTCTTCATTAATCTAAGCCCTGTATTGACACCAGTGATAAAATTTCGGGGGGCTGTTGAACTGAATAGAGTTCAATGGATGGTTATGGCTGAGCACAAGTAGGACTGGGGACGTGGTGATTAAACTGGGTTGCCTTAAATTGTCTTACCTACTTCTGAGATTCCAATAGAGGCCACATGAGAGGTTTGAGAACCTCGATGGCCACTGCAGGAAAGTTTGGAGCCTTTTAAAAGCACAGGGCAAGCCAAGAGGAGGGATGAGGACGATGCTCGTCTGGACTAGAAGTGGGAGGCCTGAGGCAAGTCCCTTGTCTCGAGATGATTTAATTAAGACAAAACCTTTGCAAGTCACTAATTCCAACTGGGGAATGGAAGAAAGTCCAAACAGCTGATTTACTTGAATTCCATGCGCTGGATGTAGCGAGGAGGAGCAACAGAATTAGTGACAAATTCCACGTGGGTGGAAACAAGCAGCATCCAAGCCCGTTACCTTAACGGGCGTGATAAATAAGTGCTTGGCACCTTCTGCAATTTACCTTCTCAACTCACTAGCAAAGAACAAGAGGCAGAATTGTACGTCCCGTTATTCATACACACAAAACCACCCACCTATTGGACAAACCACACGTCCTTCAAGGCAGCAAAAGTGTCTCAGATTTTGTTTTTCCCCGTCATTTCTTCATAGACACCTTATGAAGATCCAAGGAAGTTGTCTCCCACTCACCGTTCTCTTTTTTTTTTTTTCTCACTGGCTTTTGGAGATGATCGTGGGCTTTGAACTACGGCAACATAAAATCAAGCAGTAAAAAATAAATCTACATTTCAAGTATGCTTATTCTCAGCAAATTACCCCCCAAAAAATAAAATAATCACATACAGATCAGTCTCTTTTTTACTGTACATTTTAACATCCGTTTATTACTGCGCATCGGGTCTTCCATCAACCTGTTTGGTCCATATTTAAAGAGCTCCTTAAGTGCCTTTTGTGATTTGCCTTTCGTCGCCGGAGGTCTCTGGGTAGGAGAGGGGGTGGGCTTAATTAGGCTTTCTTCAGACTTTATTGAGAAATTCCAAATTGAGAGAAGCGGGGATGTGAATGGAGTCCATGGTTATGGAGGATGGGTTGAAGGGGAACAACACGGGGAACATGTGCTTGAAGTCTAAGAGCAGCTGCGGAGGGTCGTTCCGCTCCTGCAAGTGTGTCTGTGAGGGGTGGGAGAAGAAAACACATTTAGTGTGGGTCGTTGCCTTTTCTTTGCGTTCGTCGCGTTTTAACATCGTCAAAGGGTTGAGAATGAGGACAATTTGAGAGATATTCCAAAAATTGTTAACTATCTCCTCTGCTCTTCAGCCCTTTCACTTACCTGGATGTCTCGTATGAAAGCTACTGTCACGCGCTCTTCAAACTCATTCACAGGAGTGTAGAGATTGAGTATCTTCACAATCTGTTGAAAACCAAACCAGGATCAGTCAAGAGAAGCCAAATTTTTCCAGAACACAAAACAGCACTAACAGTTTGTCGTGACGTGGCCCTAACAAGTCTCCCCGTGACCCTACGGAGAAGCAGGAGTAGCCCAAGTGTCATCCTGGTGTTCCTTTGCCTGCTGGAAGGGATGGTAAGGCCTCTATGGACCTTTCAAAGTCACTTCTTATGGCAAAGTTTGTAAATTGGGAATAGAATTGACCAGATTTATACAGGGATTCCACTCGGTTGGCACATGGGTGACCACTTCCCATGTCACCTCTACAACACTTCTCAGGCTACCTCAACTCCTGCTCCTCCCCTATCACCTTCAAGAACATGTTCTAGATGGAGATAGAGGAGAAAGGACCCCCGAGAATCACTGGAGATCACTCCCAACCTCTCGCTTCTCCCTTCCTACCACATGATCAAACTAAGGCCAGGCAATCCAGCAGCAAAGAAGGTGAATGAACTCCAGTCCTCCTGGAACGGAGTCTCAAAGTTTAAGGTTGGATCCAGCCAATTCTCAACCTCCTGCCCCAAATCTTGAGTCCTTGCTGGGCACCCTGCAGACCTACCCTGGCAAAGAACAACCAGTGGGTTTAAAATCCCAAGTGTCTGACTTATTCCATGAACTCCTCAGGGTTGGGTTTCACCTCGGAGCGTTTCTTTCTCACTCCTTTAATGATCACTACCCTCTGGTGTAAATCTCTGCCCCGCTCCCCACCTGCTGCGTGGTGAGGGACGTGCACAAGGAGCAGATGGCTTCGGCGTCTTCTGAGGTCTTCTTCTTCAGCTGCAGGAGCTGCGCCGCTTGGATCAAGGGCTCCAAGGTTTGCGCCGCTCCGCTCTGCTGCAGGTTCTTCCCCCGTAGCCACTCCTCCAGCTGGCTGATGTTAAACCTGGGCAAGCAGGAGAGATAAGACGTGACCTGGGGTCTAAGCAACTTCATCTAGTTGAAGATGTCCTTGCTCATGGCAGGGGGGTTGGGCTAGATGACCTTCAAAGGTCCTTTCCAACCTAAACTATTCTGTGATTCTGTGAGCCAGGAGCCGAGAGATAAGACATAGCATCTCAAAAACCCTCTGAGGAGACTCAAATGTTGCAGTGCTGCTATAGGTGGCTTTTCGTGACACACGTGGCAAGAGACAACCAGAGCAAAGCTTAACACTCAACAACCCAAAGCAAAACTTCTACTCAACGTACCTTAGAAACAGAAAAGCCACGTAAGAGCTCAACAGCACAAGGGATGTCCTCTTCTACATCATTCTACATTTCTACAGCATTCAGCCACGTTCCAAGTTTCATAACTCAATTGAAATTAAGTTTTTAAATGCTAACAAAATCCTGCAAGGGACCTGCACAGCATTCAGCCACGTTCCAAGTTTCATAAGTCAATTAAAATTAAGCTTTTAAATGCCAACAAAATCCTGCAAGGGACCTAACTAAGTACCTTTGAAAATATCTACTCAAGAAATGCCTTTGCCTGTGCTCGCTCCCAAGCTCAAGGGGAACAGGCAAAGGATCCACCATGGGAAGGGGAGAGGGACATAAAAGGAGGTTTAAATCATTTACACCGAGAAGTTGATAGATTTATTCACGAAATATTCACGACCCCTTCCTGGCAGGTTTGCACGAGGTGTCATAGAATCATAGAATGGTTTGGGTTGGAAGGGACCTCAAGGATCATTGAGTTCCAACCCCCCTGCCATGGGCAGGGACACCTCCCACTAGAGCAGGTTGCTCAAGGCCACCTGTCCTTTCTAATTTCAGTCCTTATTAGAACACTGTGGTGAAACGGTGATGGGAACAGACATAAGGAAGAAATATTTTACGTGGAGGGTGGTTGAGACACTGGCCCAGGTCGCCCAGAGAAGCTGTGGCTGCTCCATCCCATCCAAGGCCAGGTTGGATGGGCCTTTGAGCAACCTGGTGGTTGCTCCCACCTCTGGTGGGAGGTGGCCCTGCCCAGGGCAGGGGGTTGGAACTGGATGGTCTTTAAGATCCTTTCCAACCCAAACCATTCTATGATTCTATGACAGGTACATCACTTCCCCATGTCCATGTCCCACCTCAGCTGCATCCCCGTGCTCCACGAGCAGACATCCTTCCTCAGCAGGAGGTTGTTCAGGGCCACCGCGTTGATCATGTAGAAGAGCTGCTTGAAGACCTGCTGGATGATCTCCGGGTCCAGGCCCTGGTCACACATGATGTTGTGGAACGTGTTCAGTTGGCGAATGATTGCCTCTAAGGTGTAGGAGCTGTCACCATCTGCCATGCTGGAGGAGCGATTCCTGTAGCCCATTGGTTTGACACCAGAAAGCCCTTGGATACTCTCATTTTCCAACACCGCAGACACTGAAAAAGGGAGAAAAATGAGGTAAAAAAAAGCTTGAATCCACCTGTTGGGTGACGGGAGGTAAGAAATGCTCCTTTATGAGCAGCCACAAACTGCAGTAGTGTCAAAGTGATGCCACGTGATGGATGTTGGAAGGTCTGAAAAGAAGGACAGATCCATGAATGGATGGGTTATTGTGATAATATGAAATAGTTGATGGGTGAGATCACACTATTTACCCCCCTCGTCCTCACTACAGAGAAATCACTTGCCATCCTGCAGAAACTGGGAGCACCTCTCCTTTGAGCTGTCATCAATTCTCCCTCTGTACCCACCACAGAGCCTGAGATTCCACAGTTAAAGTGATTAACTGGCTCGAAGGGTGGGGAAGAAATGAAGATAGATTAAAAGTAATAAAATTCTTACAGCCTGATGGACTGACAGCGGAACGGGACAACCTTCTGCAAGGAGCAGGAGGTACCTGCAGCGGTGGTAGGAGGTGACACCGTTGGATACAGCCAGAATTTGTGCAATGACATTTGAAGGGCAAAGAAAAAAGAGTCCCAGAGACAGAGGAGTCCAGGCTGGGAGCTCAAGGAAAATACCAGCAGCTAAAAAAATATAAAGTTCTGAGAAAATTAAGGTCTGAGCCCCTCAATTAGCTCAGGAAGAAGGACAGATGTAGCTGAGGAGGTAACTCATAGAATCATAGAATGGTTTGGGTTGGAAGGGACCTCAAAGATCATCTAGTTCCAACCCCCTGCCACGGGCAGGGACACCTCAACTCCTCTCATACTGACTCACCCTTGCAAAACAAGGTCTTTATTAATCTCTTTTTCCTCTTCCCAGTTCTCTCCTCCCTTGTAATGTGCATTTTCAGCCATAAAAAGCTTACCCATGAACCTGGGCTGGAGGGGAACGCTGTTCTACGGACCCACCAGCACCTCCTCACCTCTGTCACCTCAACAGAAAGGAAGGAGATATTTTCTATCACGGAGGGGGCTCATCCTCCCCATCTGCTTTGCACTGGGGAGGCCCCAGCTGGAGCACTGGGTCCAGTTGTGGGCTCCCCAGTTCCAGAAGGGGAGGGAACTGCTGGAGAGGGGACAGCAGAGGGCTACAACGATGATGAGGCATCTGGAGCATCTCTCTGATGAGGAGAGGCTGAGGGACTTGGGGCTTTTGAGTCTGGAGAAGAGCAGACTGAGGGGGGATCTGATCAAGGCCTATAAATACTTCAAGGGTGGGTGTCAGGAGGATGGGGCCAGGCTTTTTTCAGTGGTGCCCAGGGACAGGACAAGAGGAAATGGGCACAAACTTGACCATAAGAAGTTCCATCTCAACATGAGGAGGAACTTCTTTCCTTTGAGGGTGGCAGAGCCCTGGCAGAGGCTGCCCAGAGAGGTTGGGCAGGGACACCTCCCACTAGAGCAGGTTGCTCAAGGCCACCTGTCCTTTCTAATTTCAGTCCTTATTAGAACACTGTGGTGAAACGGTGATGGGAACAGACATAAGGAAGAAATATTTTACGTGGAGGGTGGTTGAGACACTGGCCCAGGTCGCCCAGAGAAGCTGTGGCTGCTCCATCCCATCCAAGGCCAGGTTGGATGGGCCTTTGAGCAACCTGGTGGTTGCTCCCACCTCTGGTGGGAGGTGGCCCTGCCCAGGGCAGGGGGTTGGAACTGGATGGTCTTTAAGATCCTTTCCAACCCAAACCATTCTATGATTCTATGACAGGTACATCACTTCCCCATGCCCATGTCCCACCTCAGCTGCATCCCCGTGCTCCACGAGCAGACGTCCTTCCTCAGCAGGAGGTTGTTCAGGGCCACCGCGTTGATCATGTAGAAGAGCTGCTTGAAGACCTGCTGGATGATCTCCGGGTCCAGACCCTGGTCACACATGATGTTGTGGAACGTGTTCAGCTGGCGAATGATTGCCTCTAAGGTGTAGGAGCTGTCACCATCTGCCATGCTGGAGGAGCGATTCCTGTAGCCCATTGGTTTGACACCAGAAAGCCCTTGGATACTCTCATTTTCCAACACCGCAGACACTGAAAAAGGGAGAAAAATGAGGTAAAAAAAAGCTTGAATCCACCTGTTGGGTGACGGGAGGTAAGAAATGCTCCTTTATGAGCAGCCACAAACTGCAGCAGTGTCAAAGTGATGCCACGTGATGGATGTTGGAAGGTCTGAAAGGGAGGACAGATCCATGAATCGCTGGGTTATTGTGATAATATGAAATAGTTGATGGGTGAGATCACACTATTTACCCCCCTCGTCCTCACTACAGAGAAATCACTTGCCATCCTGCAGAAACTGGGAGCACCTCTCCTTTGAGCTGTCATCAATTCTCCCTCTGTACCCACCACAGAGCCTGAGATTCCACAGTTAAAGTGATTAACTGGCTCGAAGGGTGGGGAAGAAATGAAGATAGATTAAAAGTAATAAAATTCTTACAGCCTGATGGACTGACAGCGGAACGGGACAACCTTCTGCAAGGAGCAGGAGGTACCTGCAGCGGTGGTAGGAGGTGACACCGTTGGATACAGCCAGAATTTGTGCAATGACATTTGAAGGGCAAAGAAAAAAGAGTCCCAGAGACAGAGGAGTCCAGGCTGGGAGCTCAAGGAAAATACCAGCAGCTAAATAAGATAAAGCTCTGATAAAATTAAGCTCTGAGCCCCCCAATTAGCTCAGGAAGAAGGACAGATGTAGCTGAGGAGGTAACTCATAGAATCATAGAATGGTTAGGGTTGGAAGGGACCTCAAAGATCATCTAATTCCAACCCCCTGCCATGGGCAGGGACACCTCAACTCCTCTCATACTGACTCACCCTTGCAAAACAAGGTCTTTATTAATCTCTTTTTCCTCTTCCCAATTCTCTCCTCCCTTGTAATGTGCATTTTCAGCCATAAAAACCTTACCCGTGAACCTGGGCTGGAGGGGAACGCTGTTCTACGGACCCACCAGCACCTCCTCACCTCTGTCACCTCAACAGAAAGGAAGGAGATATTTTCTATCACGGAGGTGGCTCATCCTCCCCATCTGCTTTGCACTGGGGAGGCCCCAGCTGGAGCACTGGGACCAGTTCTGGGCTCCCCAGTACAAGGAGGACAGGGAACTGCTGGAGAGGGGACAGCAGAGGGCTACAAAGATGAGGAGGGGCCTGGAGCATCTCTCTGCTGAGGAAAGGCTGAGGGACTTGGGGCTTTTGAGTCTGGAGAAGAGCAGACTGAGGGGGGATCTGATCAAGGCCTATAAATACTTCAAGGGTGGGTGTCAGGAGGATGGGGCCAGGCTTTTTTCAGTGGTGCCCAGGGACAGGACAAGAGGAAATGGGCACAAACTTGACCATAAGAAGTTCCATCTCAACATGAGGAGGAACTTCTTTCCTTTGAGGGTGGCAGAGCCCTGGCAGAGGCTGCCCAGAGAGGTGGTGGAGTCTCCTTCTCTGGAGACATTCAAACCTCACGTGGACATGTTCCTGAGCAATCTGCTCTGGGTGGCCCTGCTCTGGCAGGGGGTTGGACTAGATGATCTCCAGAGGTCCCTTCCAACCCCTGCCATTCTGAGATTCTGTGACCTGCTCCAAACCAAGAGGGTTTTTGGCAAAATAGTCCTCTCCACCAACCGCAGGCTTTTCTTTTGGGGAGAAGTTACACTTAGCGCTGTACAAAGGTCTGAAAAACACTCCAAGTAGATAAATATAGGAAAAAAAAAGAAAAAGCAAACAAAGAAACCCCCCTAAAAGCTCGTGTGCTGTGAACTCACCGATCATGGGTTGGAGTATGCCCTCTGCTATCTTAATGAGCTGCTGGTAGATCTGGATGGAGAGGTGGCTCAGCACCTGGCGATACTCGGTGAGGTCAAAGTTCTTCAGACAGTGCTCGTTCTGCTTCGGCGTGTTTTGGGTCATGAAACCCTGCACAGGAGGAGAGAAAAACACCCAGTTTCATTATTCCACCTTTTTGTAGTCAGGTAAAATCACTGTATTAAAAAAAATAATAAATTCAAGTACAATATATCCAGGTGTTACCAAAGTACATTCTGAGATTCTATTAAGTTTTTCCGTAAATTCATAAATCACCTTTGATTTACTCAGCAATTTGTTCATAAATTATTACCAGGGGCTGTTTTTTGAAGAAAAGCATCATTAAGCAACAAGGTTTTTCATTGTAGCTTTAGCAAGGAGCAACATTTGTCCTAATTGCAATATATATATATTTGAACTAGAAAATTATTTTTCAGCCCCTGAGATACTTTTTTTTTTAGCTATTTGTTTATCCCGGTGAGTTGAAATTATTTATGTGAAACCAAATATTTTGAGAGTAAAATATTAGAAATATTTAATGAAAAATGAAAAAAAAATTATGATAACCACACGCTATTATTTTTATTAATTTTTTTTTTTTTACAACCTTTTAAACAGATCTGAGCTTCAGAAATCTCTCTCCCAGGAACTGAATTTATTCCCTGCCTTTTGCTGAAGCAGCAGCTTGTCTCTGAGCCTGCAAAATGGATGCTGTAAGCTTGCTGAAAGTGATCTAACTTAATTTTGTAATTAACACAGCCGCTTTAATTGCCTCTTCGTATGGTCTTATCAATTTGGTGTCAAAATGAGGACTAGGACTTTTTTTTTTTTGTGTGTGTTTGCTGACCAGCAAAATGCAAAAGCCACAAAATGTACAATTTGAGGTGACTTCAGAATTTGTCTTTTTTTTCCTGACTACTACTGATTGCATTTAATTTGGGATTTTATTTTAAACCCACTTTCTTAAAAATAGCTCGATTTTCAAACTCAAGAGAACAGTATTTTGGGAGCTGCTCAGAATGATTTTTCCCCCCCAGCTCTGTTATTTTTTCTTTTTGCACCAAATTATCGACTGAATTTGAAACAGCTGCTTCATTTAACACAATAAATCATGGCAAAGAATGTGAAATTTAAGTTTGGAGGGTGGTTTTTTTTTTTATCCTGCTGGTTTTCTGGGGAGGATTTTCTTTAAATGTCACGTTGTCATCCAGGCAAACAGGAGCAGAATTATTAGTAAGTATTACCTACATTCTTTTTCTTTTTAATTTAAATCTTGAAAGTCCAACGCTGAGGTTTTACACACCGGTCATTATCTTCTGAATGACTCGAAGAGTTAATTTGATTCCATGAATTATTTTTTTTTATTTTATTCTTAAAGTTTGATTGCTCGATACATCTAACATATTTGATTCCATGAATTATTTTTTTTTATTTATTCTTGAAGTTTGATCGCTCGATATATCTAACACAAATCAAGCCTAAATGAGAAATGACATCATTTGGCTTTGCTGGAAATTTTAATAGCCAGAACATATGGCTCTGAGGATGGCAGAGGACTGTGATGATCTGATTTTATCAGAAGGGATCAGCTTTCATAAAACTTATTTCAACTTCTGAAATATTACTGAAGTGGCAAAAAATGAGAGGATTCCTTTCCCAAATCTCACGTTACGATTCTGCATTTTGGCTCTCTCAAAGTGCAGTTATTTTGAACCAGTTGAACAGAACAGGAAAAAAATTCATCAGTAGAAAACATTGAGAGCATTTTGGCTCTCTCAAAGTGCAGTTATTTGGAACTAGTTGAACAGAACAGGAAAAAATTCATCAGTAGAAAACATTCAGTATAAAATGGCAAGATTTGGACCAAGTTTCTCCTGTCTAAAAATGGTGGTTAATGAAAACCTGTGGGACCTACTAAAAGCAGAACCTACTAAAACCCCAGGAACAGCCTTCTAAAGAGCCTACCAGAAGGAAATCCCCTGTTCAGCCAACTCAAAGTGTGTGGTTGGCTGTGAAATTCAAAATATTCCGTTGCGTGTTGTGTTGCTAAGGTCCCAGTTTCAACTCTCAAATGTCTTCTCTTGGTGCAACACCCCACGAACCTCTGGTCTAGGTCAGACTAGAGATAAAGAAGATATTTTTATTTTAATTTTTTATTTTGAGAAACTCTCAAATGTCTTCTCTTGGTGCAACACCCCACGAACCTCTGGTGTAGGTCAGACTAGAGATAGGGAAGATATTTTTAACGATGAGAGTGGTGAGACCTTGGAACAGGTTGCCCAGAGAAGCTGTGGCTGCTCCATCCTTGGAGGGGTTCAAGGCCAGGTTGGAGGGGGCTTGGAGCAACCTGGTGTGGTGGGAGGTGTCCCTGCCCAGGGCAGGGGGATTGGAACTGGATGGTCTTGAAGGTCCCTTCCAACCCAAACCATTCTATGATTCTAGGAGTTGCCTCATGTTACATCCAAATCAACAGAGGAGGAAAGCCAGAGATGACTCCATACTGTAGCCAGAGGGAAGCCACCAGACCCAAAAGAGACCTGAAGACCCTTCCTGGAGGAACACCTAAATATTCAATATCGGCGACGAGTTCCTTACCGCGTCTCCGCTGTACTGCTTCAAACAGTGCAGGAGGCGACACGTATTCGCCAGCCAAAACGACGTCATCTCAAAATCCTCGTTGTGTTTCTGGAGGAGCAGAATGAAAACATGTGAGACCCCCCCCCTCCTCCAACTTTGGTGGGGGATTTTGAGTGTCCCCATCTAGATCATCATCTAGCCACCACCACCCCTGGTGAGACACTGGAACAGGTTGCCCAGAGAAGCTGTGGCTGCCCCATCCCTGGAAGCGTTCAAGGCCAGGCTGGATGTGGCCTTGAGCAACCTGCTCTAGTGGGAGGTGTCCCTGCCCAGGGCAGGGGGTTGGAACTCGATGATCTTTGAGGTCCCTTCCAACCCAAACCATTCTATGATTCTATGATTTAAAGGACCTATGAAGGTGCCAAATAGTCATTGCCATGGAGACCAGCTTCAGGGCAGGTAAGACTGTGCTGGGGAAGGGATCTGCAGCAAAAAGGGCCAACGAGAAGCTCTTTTTGGGGCTTTTTGAAGCCAGGAAAAGCCCTTTGCTTGTACTGGGGCTGGTGCTACTGAGTGAGCCTGGGTGGAGCCACCTCCCCTGGTTGATCAAGCCACCCCATGAAACATGTGAGCATCCAGAGAGTGCCAGAGCCTGGCACTTGCGTGTCCAGAGGAGAGCCACCAAGCTGGTGAGGGGTCTGGAGAACAAGTCCTATGAGGAGAGGCTGAGGGAATTGGGCATGTGTAGTTTGGAGAAGAGGAGGCTGAGGGGAGACCTCATTGCCCTCTACAACTCCCTGAAAGGAGGGTGTAGAGAGGTGGGGGTTGGCCTCTTCTCCCAAGGGAATAACGACAGGAGCAGAGGAAATGGTCTGAAGTTGGGGCAGGGGAGGTTTCGATTAGATATTGGGAAGAATGACTTTGCTGAGAGGGTGGTCAGGCACTGGAAGAGCCTGCCCAGGGAGGTGGTGGAGTCACCATCCCTGGAGGTATTTAAGAAATGTGTAGACGTGGCACTTCAGGGCACGCTCTATTGGCCAAGATTGTTGGGTTGTGTCTGTTTGTGGTTTGTTTGTGTGGTTTTTTTTGTTTTTTTGGTTTTTTTTCTGGTTGGACTCAATGATCTCAAAGGTCCCTTCCAACCATGAGGATTCTGGGATTCTGTGAATGAGGAAGCTCTCGCTCTGGAGACACACTATTAGCCATTTGTTCCCTGCAAACTTTTTTTTTTTATCTAAAAACGCAAACAATTTTATTGTTATGATCATAATTCTCCTTGTTCTTCTACAGAGGGAAGCTACGGGAGAGCTGAATATGACACATTTGGACCATCCTACACCACCTCAACCCAAGATGAGAAAAATGGAGACCCACCTTCAGCACTTTCTTAATGCCGTTGATGGTGGAGGTGAGCAAGGAGTGCACCTTCTGGTCGTCGTTGATGTAATCCGCGTGTCGGATGCACATGTAGAGGATGTAGGCAGGAAGGCAGGGAACAGTTGCAGACACTGCTTGAGGCTTCAGATCTAGAAGGTTTGGGATTGTGGTATTTTACCAAAAAAATCCTCTTAAAATTCACCAACTGCCAAGTGAAGCAGGCAACAGCAGAGCTGGAGACCCAAGCAAACCCCCTCTCTTCCCCCAGCCCCGGAGAAGCTGAGATTTCACCTCTGCAACTCCCATTCCTCACTGCAGCGTGGACACAGGACCAGAGGTCCAACTAGAGGACAGATGGACCTCCTGGTGCTGGCCAAAGAGGAAGAGCTGCAGCACCAGGGCTTGGGATTCTGCACTGAAGCTCGTGATGCCGTGACATTCCACTTTAGGGATGCACAAACGCACACAGGTGGCACTAGACCTTCTTTACCATGAAAAAGTCTACCCAAGCAGCACACAAATAACCTTTGAAAAGCTGCCTGGAGCCTTGAGGAATATCTCAAGCAGGTTACAAACCCCTCTGCTCTGAATCCACGACGTAATAAATCACTCTTTCCCTCAAGATACTGAATCCTAATGGCAGCTGTGGGAAATTCCAGCCTCAAAAAGAAGAGCTCCTCTGAACAGAGGAACTTCAAAGACCACAGGAATGGGCTATTGCTGCTCTTGGAGCACTTTTTAGATCCTCACCAGCTTCTGCTGGGGTCAGAGAGTGATGGTAAATACTGACACTCAGAGAAGCACGAGCCTCAAAAAGAAGAGCTCCTCTGAACAGAAGAACTTCAAAGACCACAGGAATGGGCTATCGCTGCTCTTGGAGCACTTTTTAGATCTTCACCAGCCTCTGCTGAGGTCAGAGAGCGATGGTAAATACTGACACTCAGAGAACTTCTCCAAGAGTGTTGAATAAGGGGATGCTGGCAGCAATTCTGATCAGATCATCCGGCGTAAAAGAGCTCAAAAGTTCACTATCTGTTGAAGTTACCACAGAATGTCTCAAAAACCAAACTATCTTGGTCCATTGCTGCTCAAAATCCCCAGGGTCTGTCCTCTGCTCTCCCCTCCCCGTTGATCACCGCAAAATCCCCAGGGTCTGTCCTCTGCTCTCCTCTTCCCCATATATCACCACATCGTACGAAGCTCAGCAAGTTACTGCCTGCTCTAAAATCTGCAGCCTCTTCTTTGAATCTTCCATTTTATGCTATCCCTAAGGGAAGGGATGGAATTAAGGGAGTGCCACCAAGGGCTGGAGCCCCTCTGCTGTGAGGACAGGCTGAGAGGGTTGGGGGGATTCAGCCTGGAGAGGAGAAGGCTCCAGGGAGACCTTAGAGCCCCTTCCAGTCCTGAAAGGGGCTCCAGGAAAGCTGGGGAGGGACTCTGGATCAGGGAGGGGAGCCATGGGATGAGGGGGAAGGGTTTGACACTGAAAGAGGGGAGATGGAGATGAGATGTGGGGAAGAACTTCTTTGCTGGGAGGGAAGAACTTCTTTGCCCAGGTTGCCCCGAGAAGCTGTGGCTGCCCCATCCCTGGAGGGATTCAAGGCCACGTTGGATGGAGCTTTGAGCAACCTGGTGTGGTGGGAGGTGTCCCTGCTCATGGCAGGGGGGTTGGAACTGGATGATCTTGAAGGTCCCTTCCAACCCAAACCATTCTATGATTATATTCATGCTGGTCTATTGGCTTTACCTACCAAAATTGCCATCACCGTAAACGTGCAGCCCCAGGAGGGATTAATTTGAGAAGATCTGTCTATCTTAAAGATCTCACGTTTGCAAAATACGAAGGAGCCAGGCCCAGAGCAAGTTCCTCACCTGTAATGAGGTTTCGGATGAGGAGTGGCTCGTCTTCTTTATAATATTCCAACATGCCCTGAAAATCTTTCTCCTTCCTCTGGACAGCAACTTGCATGTTCCGCTCGTGCCGACTCCTCTCCACCGGTACCGTGGCCTGGGAGGCTGCGAAGAGAAAAGAGCATGAAAGGTGGTACCTGGTGCTGGAGAACCATTCACATCCTCCACTGGCCTTAGAGAAGACACCAGGTTGAAGTGTTATATATTAAATTTCCAATAATGTTATGAGCTTCAACGGACCTAGAAAAATATAAAGAACCAAGTCTTGAATTACCAGCCAGGAGTAGTTCTGATTCTGAATGAAAGATAGAGTGCAAAAGTTGGACCTAAGGAGGGCAAGATGAAGTCATTTTCTAAGGAACCACAGGCTAGAAGGTAATAACCCTACAGGAAGCTTTTTAATGTATCATTTTCACAGAAGAGGACAAAAAAATAGCCAGGCAGCAGAAAAAAAACCCTAAGCATCATGTCTTGTGGTTGGCTGTAAAGCTGAAGAACTTGTGGTGGCACGTCGTTGAACGTTGTGCTTCCACAGAAGTTGAATAAAACAGGAGAGACCAGAAGTACCGCGGTGAACGGCAGCCCTGCTGCCTGGAGATTCCACCAACAAGGGACCAGCTGTGGAAACCCTCCAGTTATTGCAGCTTAATTTCACTTAATGCCTAGTTGTCAGCAATCAGCTCGTGAGAAGAAGGCAGTATGATTAATCACGGCATCTCCGGGGAACGGGAAGCTCCCTCCATCCAACGCAGATGTCACATCTGAGGGGTTTTCTGATCAAGTAGAGAAAGGAAGAGGGGGAAGGGTTTTAAAGTGAAAGAGGGGAGGTTTAGATGAGATCTCAGGAAGAAATTCTTTGCTGGGAAGGTGGTGAGAGCCTGGCCCAGGTTGGCCAGAGAAGCTGTGGCTGCCCCATTCCTGGAGGCGCTCAAGGCCAGGTTGGACGGGGGGCTTTGAACAACCTGGTCTAGTTGAAGATGCCCTACTCAAGGCAGGGGTGTTCGACTAGACGGCCTTTAAGGTCCTTTCCAACCCAAACCATTCTATGATTCCATGATACAAATATTTTTTTTAATCCTAAATGGTTTAATCCCTCTCGATCCCACCAGCCACTGGTCCCTCAAGATCTCTGCTTGAGTCATAGAATCGTCTAGGTTGGAAGGGACCTTAAAGATCATCTAGTCCAACCATCAACCTAACTCTGACAAAAAATAAATAAGAAATAAGCAAAGAAGAGAAACCAGAGGGCCTTTCCCCCACCCCACCAACAGCCAAGTCACCTTCAAAATCTTGGACCTTCTTCATGTAAATCTTCAGCTGCTTCTTCAGCTTCTTTTCATTCTTCTCTAACTTCTCCAGCAGCTCTTTAAGATCCTGAAAAACAAGATGCACTGGGTTAAAAAAAAAACCCAAACAATAAACAAACTAGAAAACAACCCAAAACCAACGGATTTGGGGTGAGTTTGAGGTTGGAGTCACTCAGTAGCCTGGTCCATGTGCCACCACTGCAGGGTGTGAGCATCTTGGTCCAAGAAGAGCCAACATCCATCGCTGCCAAGAGTGTGGATGTTGTGTCCCTGCTTTTTCCAGAAGTAGGCAATACTCCCGACACACCTCCCAAAGCAATTTAGTGTTGGCTGTTAATTACATTTCATAATCATATTTCATAATAATCGTATTATTTAGATGCTAAAGCTGCTGAGAAAGGCAAGGAGACCTCACCTCAACTTAGGAAGAGACCAGAGTTCACTCCAGATGTTGCAACACAGAGGCAGGAGGTGAAAAGGGGAAAACTGATGATCGGCCAGGATAACTTTTTGGAGTGGGATCTGCCCCCCAAATTCCCCCAAAAATGCAGCTAAAAAGAATTGTGTTGGGTCTGTGCATAATTATGGAGTATGGGGCACCCAGCACCTTCAGAGATCTCATTTCATAAGCAGTGCCACCAAAGTAGGTAGGTTTAAAAATAATAACAATTAAAAAAATAAAGTACCTAGAGAGTCACAAGGGTCATAAAGCCACTGAACAACAGCTCAAGGCCAAATATCAATGTTCCCAAATGCACTGGAGATGCTGAAGGACATTTTATCAGGGAGGGGAGCCATAGGGTGAGGGAGAAGGGTTTGACACTGAAAGAGGGGAGATGGAGATGAGATGTGGGGAAGAACTTCTTTGGTGGGAGGGTGGTGAGAGCCTGGCCCAGGTTGCCCAGAGAAGCTGTGGCTGCCCCATCCCTGGAGGGGTTCAAGGGCAGGTTGGAGGGGGCTTGGAGCAACCTGGTTTGGTGGGACGTGTCCTGGGGTGGAACTGGATGATCTTTAAGGTCCCTTCCAACCCAAACCATTCTATGATCTTGCAGAGAGTTTAGGAGGGGTGGAAGATACCCAAGCGCCGCCTTCTCCCTCTCAACATTTCCTGTCTCCTTTCTCCCAACCTGGGTTTCTTTTCCTCTTTTTTGGGCTGGTTTTTCAGGAACAGCCTCTTACCAGATTTTCATTGGTGAGCCGTGTAATTTCTTGCTGAAGCCCAAACTCCACCTGAGCCTCCGGAGACAGCTGCAGGGTCTGCAGGAAAGCCTGCTGTTGCTTCTCCATCTCTTCTCTCATCGCGTCCACCTCGTTCTTCAAAGCTTCTACCTCCTCCTCGTGCTCTCTTCTCTGCTCCTGAAGCTGGGCTTCCAGCAACCTGAGAAAAGGACCATATCTGTCATCAGGAGCAGCCTGGGATTTCAGCATCACAGCAGTAACCACCGTTTGAGTTTAGATCCTTCCAAGCTTGGGAGATGTCACCAGTCCATGTGCCCAACATCGCACCAAGGGGTGCTACAGCCATTATTGCCACATTAGTCTGTCATTTACTCTATTTCAGATTAAATACTTTTGAAATTAAAGGCATGAAATGAAAAATTTGATTTTTCTTTTATTAAAAAGGGATGGGAAAAATATATTCAAGAGCTCCTTTTTTTTCTAAATTTGGGTTTCTTCACTCTTCCCGTTAACAAAAAGCAAATGCATGGCAAGGAAGCAACGCAGATCCTGCAGGATTTTCAAAAGCTCAAGCTTGAGGAGCACTCGTTCTGGTGCTCATCACCTTTCAAACATCAGTTCTCACTCGTGAAAACCAAACTAGAATGTCCTGCAAAGGGCTCTGTTCAGTTGGACCATCACGAGCTTCGCTTCCTACTGCTGGGAGTTTTGAGAAAGGCAGAAGGTGAAACCCTCCGTTCCTTCTAGCTCTTTGTAGAGCTGCTATCTGCCTTTGCTTAAAAAAGAAGTATATTTATTTATATCTCAATTTTCACTCATGAACTACCTGCAGAAAACTACGCACAGGGCAGTTTTCTGTCACTTCAATCAGTTCCTGCTTTTATCGTTGCTGCTGACTCCACCAGAGGAAAAAAGAGTTGTTTCCTTGTTCTCCATGACACGCAGACGACAAGAATTCACCAAAACCAGCCCTTCTCCCACTTTTACGTGGATACACAACTTTTTCCTCTAAAAATTTGTCCTCCTACCCTCTCCTACCCTCTTCTTTAGATAAAAAGTTCCATCTCAACATGAGAAGGAACTTCTTTCCTGTGAGGGTGACAGAGCCCTGGAAGAGGCTGCCCAGAGAAGTGGTGGAGTCTCCTTCTCTGGAGACATTCCAACCCCACCTGGACATGTTCCTGTGGGACCTGCTCTGGGTGGCCCTGCTTTGGCAGGGGGTTGGAGGAGATGATCTCCAGAGGTCCTTTCCAACCCCGTATCATTCTGTGATTCTCTCCTACACACCAGGTCTCCTTCCAGCCCTGCCCTGAGCCTGTGCACGAGGACAACCCTGGGGGGAAATGCTGAGTTTAAGGGTATGGCATAGGATGAGGGGGAAGAGTTTGACACTGAAAGAGGGGAGATGGAGATGAGATGTGGGGAAGAACTTCTTTGGTGTGAGGGTGGTGAGACCATGGCCCAGGTTGCCCAAGAGAAGCTGTGGCTGCCCCATCCCTGGAGGGGTTCAAGGCCAGGTTGGAGGGGGCTTGGAGCAACCTGGTCTGGTGGGAGGTGTCCCTGCCCAGGGCAGGGGGTTGGAACTGGATTGTCTTTAAAGTCCCTTCCAACCCAAACCATTCTATGATTCTGAGACTCCAGAAGGGGTCTCAGAAGGGGATCCAGAAGGGGATCTCAGAATCCAGAAGGGGATTCTGAGACTCTGGGGAACAGGCATCAAGCCAGAAACTGCAAAGTCTTAGTCCCAGACTACACAGGTCGATGGTAGCAAAGAGGTAGAACAACCCAGGGAGATAACCAAGCCACATGAACCTTCCTCATGGATGTTCTCTGGGCCAGAGCCAGGAAGAGCCACGGTCCCAGCTCAGGGGCTTCAGCTCCTCGGATACCGGATGCCAACAGCGTTCCCCAAAGGTGAGGAAGACTCTGGTGTCCACAGCTTAGCATTTACCCTGGACACGCACAGACACGGTGCTGGGCCAGTGGGGAAAAAGCTACAACCATTGGGAAAACCATGGAGATTCAGGTCTGTGAAGTGTTTCCCTACAAAAACAATTAAGCATGGTTTTTAATTAAGCACTCCTGCAAACTTGGGTTCCTACATTGCCTCGTAACCGCCCTGCAGAAGCGCACAGACTGATTAACAACTAATTATCAGCTCTTGCAAGTACCAAGTTGAACCAGGAGAAGAATCCAGGAGTCCACCTTGCTTTGAGCTCCATTTGTGTCTCTAGAAGTTCATCATCTTGGAGATAAGACCCTTACAGAATCACCACCAAGCCCAGGAGATAGGGAGGTCGTAGGTTCTGCCCCGGTGTGTCCCGCTGGGAGGATTTTTGCCCATCAGACCAGGACATGGGGACATCTGTGGAAGGATGGCACCACCACACACCTTCCTCCTCTTATCTATAGGCAACGCATGGACAGGAGAGGACAATCCCTGGGGAGCATGCAAAGCAGGCAGCATGGCAACACGAGCACAGGGACTCCGCTTCCGAAAGCCAAGGAGTGGGAGAAAACACTTCAGGGAGGTTCTATATCTTAATGCAATTGAGGGAAAAACATCTAAAATGTGGTTTTTTGGGCTTCCTGGACATTACGCCTTCCCAACACCTTTATCACACAATTTCCAATGAACGTAACATAATTCTCACTGAATCACTGCTCAAGCATTCGTGACAACGGCCACCATCAGCAATCCCCAATTAGAATCCTAACGACCCCCCTGAAAATGAGAGGAGGGTTGGAATTCCTCCCGTTTGGACATCCCACCTCCAGCTGCTCCCAGAGAGGACAAGAGGTCCTACAGAGGACAAGAGGACAAGAGCAGAGGAAGAGAAAGGAACAAAAGGGGAAGCGAAAGGGGGAGAAGGGGAGAAGCAGCAGTTTTGGGGAAAAAAAGAGAAAGTGGTTGACCTGGCAACTTGCTTTAAACCTTGATAAGCCAAGCCGAGCTCTCCATCTTCATTGAGATACCCCCAGTCCTCAGTCTTGCTAGAAATAAAGGACAGCAAAAGGAAACAAGAGGACAGAGAAAGACAAAAGGTCAATTGCAATAGAAGGGGAAAAGGTGAAGAACCCGTAATCATTTATTATTTTTTAAATTTATTTAAAGCACACCTTCATTACGTCGTATTTCCTTTTCCACCTCATGCAGCCCTTTTCTCCCCGACCCACCACAGTTGACACGGGAACCCAACATCCTCCAGGTCCAAAGGGACCATCGGAGATCGTCTAGTCCAACCTCCTGGCAGGTTACCATCATTCCTGAGATGTTACTGTTTGGTTTTTTTACCAAAAAGCCCAACTTCTGGAGGTCAGACCCAAGTTTTCATTTCTTTATGGCTAAACTCCTTCCCATTTGATGGCAATTCCACACCAAACCAATTAGCTGAAATCCTCATTAAGACCTTACGTGTAGAAACCAGGGAAGAGAAACAAGGACCAAGAGGGATAAACGAGAGAAAAGTCAACACAAAGGGTAAGGAAGAGATGTTTGAACACAGAGAGGGGGGAAATGAAAAGCAGAGAGTGATACTTAGGAGCTCCCAACAGAACTCCTTGCTTCCCTAGCCCCCAAAAATTAACTATTTTTGAGCTGGAACAGCCCCTCAAGGACTTCCAACCCCAACATAACCCATCCCCACGGCTCAGAACAGCTCACTCCTCTTCCAAACCTTCTCCCATCTCACTAATAAACTTACGTGTAGAAACCAGGGAAGAGAAACAAGGACCAAGAGGGATAAACGAGAGAAAAGTCAACACAAAGGGTAAGGAAGAGATGTTTGAACACAGAGAGGGGGGAAATGAAAAGCAGAGAGTGATACTTAGGAGCTCCCAACAGAACTCCTTGCTTCCCTAGCCCCCAAAAATTAACTATTTTTGAGCTGGAACAGCCCCTCAAGGACTTCCAACCCCAACATAACCTGTCCCCACGGCTCGGAACACCTCACTCCTCTTCCAAACCTTCTGCCCATCTCACTAATAAGACATTTTAAAGACAATCTTCTCCATTTCCTTCCTTCTGCATCAACTTCCACCGGTCTAAAATAAATTCTCTTCTTTCTACTTCAGTCAAGGGTCTCCTCAATCATCAAAAGTTCAAAGCCATCAGCCTTTCCTCAAAGCAACCTTCAGTCCAAACACCCCTTGGATATTTGTTTCCACACCCCTACATGAGATCAAATCTCCTCCATAACCATCCAGGAAAAGTCTCATCTCACTTTAATGCTAAAAGTTTCCTTTTAACAGTTGGGGGTGATTTTTGAAGCTATAAAAGGCAGGAGACTCATTTATCTTCTTTAATGAGGCGTTGAACACATTTGAGTCAGGGGAGCTGGTCAACCTGACCAGAAACACTTGCTGCAGTGAGATTTTACTCGGCTTCGACGTGAGTTCAAAAACAGAAATAAAAAACCCAAACAAAACAACAACAAAACAACAAAAAAAATCACTTAATGTATCATTAAACTTCATAAAGAAGAACCGAGCCGATAAACTCCCTATTTTGAGAAGAAGAGTAGAAGATGCCGTTCCCTGGCAAGGAAAACTCTGCATGTTTAAGTGGAAAAGCAAAATATGCAAACTTTCTACACCCAATTTTCATGAGGAAAGGATTGAGAACCGTGGGGCCACCACGAAAGGCCTCAAGAGGTGTCTGACAGCTCATACATCCCCTCCATCCTGGTATTTCTCAAAAGTGACCAACATTTGGCGTTAACATTTGGAAAACTCATCTGTTAAAGCCGTTACGTGCAAATTTAGATGAAAACTTCATTTTTACCCACACATGGCAGGTTTCCAAAAGGGTAGAAGATGCCGTTCCCTGGCAAGGAAAACTCTTCATGTTTAAGTGGAAAAGCAAAATATGCAAACTTTCTACACCCAATTTTCACAAGGAAAGGACCAAGAACCATGGGGCCACCAGGAAAGGACTCAAGAGGTGTCTGACAGCTCATACATCCCCTCCATCCTGGTATTTCTCAAAAGTGACCAACATTTGGCGTTAACATTTGGAAAACTCATCTGTTAAAGCCGTTACGTGCAAATTTAGATGAAAACTTCATTTTTACCCACACATGGCAGGTTTCCAAAAGGATCTGTAGACTGAGAGATACAGGGGAAAGGTTTATTGCTCTGATTTGGCTCAATTTGTTAGGAAGGTGGGGTTTTTTTTTTGCTTCAGATAGTCTTGGGATCTGTAGACTGAGAGATACAGGGGAAAGCTTTATTGCTCTGATTTGGGTCAATTTGTTAGTAAGGAGGGGTTTTTTTTTGCTTCAGATAGTCTTAACAGAACATGTATTTAGGCACTGAAAACAAAGGAAAAATCCAGGAAGGATCCTCACTTTTTATTACATGGAAATCTCACAGGACCAGCAGCGTTTTTAGGATGGGTCTTCCTGTATAATCTCCTTTGAAAAGCAGTTTTTCTTCCTTTATGACAGAACATGTATTTAGGCACTGAAAACAAAGGAAAAATCCAGGAAGGATCCTCACTTTTTATTACATGGAAATCTCACAGGACCAGCAGCGTTTTTAAGATGGGTTTTCCTCTATAACCTCCTTTGAAAAGCAGTTTTTCTTCATTTTTTTTTTTTAAATCATATTAATTGTGGTAAATGAAGAAAGGAGCTCAAGGGGGTGCCATCACGCCGCGATAAAGCCGCCGGGGAAAGAAGCGCTCGGTCCGTGTTCACCACCAGAAATGGAGATTCCCTTCTCCCACAAGTTCACATTGACCAAGATGATAGAAGTCAATAGGGCTCTTTCTAGCTCATTAGATTAATTAGCAGGCGCCACAAGAATTTCCTAAAAGGCTGGGTAAATCCTTCTCTCGAATCGGGCTGAAATGAGTTGAAAGGACGTGATTCACTCATTTCTCCTTTAATTCTGATCTGGGAGGAGCAGTTGGGGACCCCAACGCCTCAAGGAAAGGGAGAGAAATCCCTCCCCAAACAACTCCCTCCCCTCCTCTGAGCAGCTTAAAGGAGGTGCACGTCACCCCAAAGAGGTTCATTTTAGCATCTAAAGAAAAAGAGCCACATACTCTACAGAAATCACTTGGAAATTATTACAGAAGTTAATTTCAAAGACTAAGCCCCGTCTGCTTTGAGCTGCCAGGTTATTACCTCCAACATCATCACTGGGGTCGAGGTTTCCACCGAGATCAAACAGGCTGGAAAGAAAGATCCCAAGAATTGAAACAGGGAATAAAAAAAAAATAAAAACCCTACTTAGCTTCCCAAGAAAGATCCCAAGAATTGAAACAGGGAAGAAAAAAAAAAATAAAAACCCTACTTAGCTTTACGTTCGGTTATTGAAGCAGAAAATTAGCTGCAAACGAACTTCTCCCTTTAGCAGTTGAAAGTCAGCAGAAAATAAAGAGAAAAAAAGCTGAGTTCACTGCATTTAGAAGAAGCTGCTTTTCATTCAAACTTCCCCTTGACCCTGCATCAAAGAAATGGAGCCTGGAGACTGCAGATTTCCCTTCCTGAAACTCCAGAGGCCAAAAAACCACCAGGGCCTGACCACATGGACTCACCTCGAAATCCAAAAGATTTACACGCTGTGGAAAATTAACCATTATCTCTTTTTTTTTTGATGATTTCTGGGGGTGGTTCCATCCAGAACCAGATGTTAAGTCTGGAAACCAGAGCAGTGGAAGAAGGACCGGAGTTTTCCAGTAGGATGAGTGAGAGGAGGCAACAGGCAGCCCAGGATGGCCAAAGTTGGGGACCAGTGACACAACCCAACTGGTGGGTTGGGTTGTATCACCCTAAGAAAGCAGCAACTCTTCTTTTGACTCCAAGTCCTTCACCAACACCTCAACACCTGAACCATCACTGCAAGTGCACACTGGAAAATGCTGATTAGGGAATAATTAACTCTGCACCTGACAAGGGGATCTCACATCCCACACGAGTGCCCACGGCTTCAGGAGAAAGTCAGAAGGAAATTGGAGAAAAGCCACAGAATTCATTAAGTGACCAAAACCCCACACCTCACAGTAGAAAGCACAAGGAGCTCCACTGATTTATTGACAAAAAGGTGATGTTTAAATCAATCTCATCACCTCTACGTTGCAGGAGGGGCAGAAATTTCATCAGCAAGTTGACTTCAGGAAAGCAAATATTCAATGGCAACTAATTGAAAAGAACAAACACTGGTCCTCAGCCAACCAGACATGATGTCCAGGTGAGACACCAGTGTCACAAGCATCCTGGACCTCAACAATCTCCCCTCTGGACTCCTCCAGGTCCATGGGTAGAAGTTAAAGGTGACAGTAAGGCAGCCATCAGGGGTTTAAGCTATATTTAAATGCAACGATGTGGAACCCAGCCCTTCCAGCAAACCCATCTCTGTACACACACACCAAGAAGTTAAAGGTGACAGTAAGGCAGCCATCAGGGGTTTAAGCTATATTTAAATGCAACGATGTGGAACCCAGCCCTTCCAGCAAACCCATCTCCATACCCACACACTAGGAGATCTCCACAGGTTCTCCTAGAGCTTTCCCAAGAAGGAAAATCACTGCAAAGTCAGAAAATCCAGCCCGTACTGGGGCAGGAATTTGAGGGACACACAGCACAGACACGACGACCACAGTTGACCACACACATACGTTGAATTTTTGCACATCGCTCCGGACACGTGGATTTCCCATCGCACCTTCTTGGCCATCCAGCTCTGAAAGCATCATAATTTTCCATATTGCTTTCCCAGATGGTGCACCTTTGCTTATAGTTATACAGGTATGAATTAAATCCTAATTAAGTCAATTAAAAGCCATTAATCCACAACTGTCAACGAGGGCTCCTCGCCCATAACAAGACCTGCATCGTTGGTCCCACCTTGATGGTCCTCCCTTGACCCAATGTCCAGAAGACAATACAGAAGCTGGTAACTCTCTAAAACATGTTAATTTGAGGCTGGATCTCATCTCTCACAGTTTCCAGTCCTTCCTGCTGCTGGAAAGAATTTGGGTCACACTTACCGGTTCGTCTCACACATCCCCTGGTAGGCTTCGATGGCGTCCTCCTGATCGATGTGCTTGTCACTGTTGGGCCAGCTGGCGTTGGTGGTGATGTTTTCCTAAATTCAAGGGGCAAAACACAGCAGCTTGTCATCCTGCAACATCTCCTTTTGCCTTTTAAAGTTCCTGAGACCGAGAAACTCCCAACCATCCTTAATAGAGCTTCCTTGGGGCCTCCATCAAATAAATTCTATGAATTCATACTCATGCAAACAGAGAGCAGAAGAGATTTGGAGATGGAAGAAGGATTCATGAAGCCAGGAGGGAGGTAAGGGGTGTGTGGGGTCTGAAATACAAACCATACCAAATCCTCGAGGAATGATAAGGCAGTGAATTAAAAAACCCAAGTGAGAGTTCTCAGAAAATGTGCTCTTCCATCAGAAGAAGCTCTAAACAAAAAGCCCTCAACCAACCATGATGGAATAGGCCCTCTTCTTGCCTACACACCAGTAGAAACACACTACAGCTGCACCAGCATGAAATGAGGAGAATCTGGTCCAAAACCTCTTTTCCCCCATCCCATTTCCTTGCAGAAAAAGCCAGTTGTCACGAAACACCACCAGGAACCATCTCAGACCACCACACCGTGGTGCAGGGCTAGAGAAGTTGCTCCTTGGCATGGGCTGGCCAGGCCTCATCGGGTCTTGGGTCTTCAAGCAGTACAGACCACCACGGGAGGGCTGGCCAGGCCTCATCGGGTCTTGGGTCAAGCACCTTTGAGCAGTACAGACCACCACGGGCCAGATAGTCTTGGGCTGCCTGAAATGATGTCATGGACCACATCTTACCCACAGGCAGAACCTCCTATAACCCTGCAGAACCTTCTAGAACGTCCCCGTGGCCATCATGCCACCCAGAGCCTACCAAAGCAGACATCACATCCCTCAGCAAAGCAGTGAATTTCCAGTAGCAGAATGGAAAATTGAGAAGAAAATCCATTACCCTCCCAATTACCATGTTTTTGCCCGTCTCTTTTTGCTGGGCTTCCTTCATGATCTGCGTCCTGAGGATGAGCACCTCCTCCTTCCGCACCTCCAGCTCCTCGTTGGCCGATTTCAGTTGGTTCAGGAGGAGGTTGTAACTCTCCTGAATATCATTGGACGAGTTGTTCTGGGTGGCTCGCTCCGCGATCGCTTTCCTCAGCTCGTTCAGTTCATTTTTCAGCTTCTTGTTCTCCGACTCCAGCTCTTGCCTCTGGAAAAGATCAAGCCATAAACCAGTTGAGATAAACCCTCTTGAAGGCCCTCATCCTTTTCTGAGATGCCTTTGAGGTGAATCAATCACCGACGATCGATTCAGGCCGGGAGCTGGATTCTGCTGCCAGTTGGGCCACGGGTGGTTCAGAAAAGACTTTTTTACTCTAATTAGTAGCCTGTTGCTATTTAATAACAACACTACGGGGTGACAGAAGGGAGATTTTACCAGTTGATGCTATTTCTTCAACAAAAAAGCAACCCATTAGAGAAACCAAACACGTTTGTTGCTTCTCCACTCAATCAGGGAACCACCACAACCCTCACTTTGTTTAACTCCTCTTTAATATTCATTAAATAAGGCGGAAGACGCCGATTTCCATCGTTGACAGGCATCTCATTAGGTGAGCTACGGCTGGCTGAATTCCCACGAGGGCTTCTGTTCTCCTACATTTTGTCAGTTCTCCCCCAACCCTGGTGAGATGTTTGCAGTTGGAGGATTTCCTCACCCTGACGTCTCGTCAGCTGCCGGCATTTGACAGACAAGGGCAATATTGTACATTTTTGACGCCAACTCCTTCTCCTGAATAACAATGCACGAGCATCGGCGTGTTTGCAGAGACAACTGAAGGGCTTATTTGCTTTTCCATGGCAGTAGAAGACAGAGGAATAAAACTCAGGCAGATAAACCAGCTTTTATTTCAGTATTTCCCCATGAAGCTTTGTTTGCGGGTGGTAACACCACATTTGGCAGCTCTTCACCAGCACCCAAAACCCACCTGGGGCATCCAGCTTGGTCAAGAGTAGCTTTGCTCCTGCAGATGGGCAGTCACAGAATCACAGGGCTTGGAAGGGACATCTGGAGATCATCCAGTCCAGCCCCCTGCCAGAGCAGGGTCATCCAGAGCAGGTTGCACAGGAACCCGTCCAGGTGGGGTTTGAATGTCTCTAGAGAAGGAGACGCCAAACCCTCTTTGGGAAGCCACTTCCAAGGATCTACCACCCTCGTAGGAAAGAAGTTCCTCCTCATGTTTAGGTGGAACTTCCCATGTTCAAGTTTGTGCCCATTTCCCCTTGTCCTGTCCCTGGCCACCACTGAAAAAAGACCAGCCCCATCCTCCTGACACCCACCCTTCAAGTATTTATAGGCATTGATCAGATCCCTCCTCAGTCTTCTCTTCTCCAGACTCAAAAGCCCCAAGAAGTCCCTCAGCCTTTCCTCATCAGAGAGATGCTCCAGGCCCCTCCTCATCTTTGTAGCCCTCTGCTGTCCCCTCTCCAGCAGTTCCCTCTCCTTCTGGAACTGGGGAGCCCAGCACTGGACCCATTGCTCCAGCTGTGGCCTCACCAGGGCAGAGCAGAGGGGGAGGATGACCTCTCTCCACGCTCTTCTTGATGCCCCCCAGGAGATCCTTGGCCCCAAGGGCACATTGCTGGCTCATGGGCACCCTGTTGTCCACCAGGACTCCCAGGTGTCTCTCTACAGAGCTGCTTTCCAGCAGGTCACCCCCAACCTGTACCAGTGTTGGGGGTTATTCCTCCCCAGGTGCAGAACCCTACACCTGCTCTTGTTGAACTTCATTAGGTTCCTCTCCACCCAACACTTCAGCCTGTCCAGGTCCTTGCTATGGGTCACGCTGGGGAGCAGAGCCAGACCCCCAGGGTCCTGCTCATGGCCCAAATCCCAACAGCCCACCTTTCTCTCTGCACCAGATGCTCCATCACCAGCTGCTGCACGGTGGCACCCAAGACTGCTCCCTCCTGTCCCCACGCACCCAGGGGACGATGCCAAAACCCAACAGGACCATCATCCAACTAGGACATGGAAAAACCAGGGATGCCTGCAAGCGAGGTGCCAAAGCCTGGTGTCTGACCAGCTTGGGCTCAGCTCTTTCTTAGGGACTGACTAACCCCTGTGTGGATTCTCTAGTGTCTACAACAGCACAAGCTCTTCACATACACACACACACATCCAGATCCAGGTGCTTCCCTCTTCCTTTTGACCCTTTCTTCCACGATCCCTCTTCTCTTTGGGATATCTGCCTCATTATCAGCTTCGGCTGAGGCGAGCTAACGAATCCAAAAATGGCTGGGAGGGATGGGGGCAATTTATCCAATTTATACAGTGTGTAGCCAGCACAGCTGTGTAAACCTCGTTTCCATAGGAAACGGGGGGTATAATTATCAATCCTTACAAATTATAAATAGCCTGCCTTATCACAGCAGAGGTGTGACCAGAATAGCTGATCTGGCATCTGGACAGACTCCGAGCTGAACAAACACCATCAGTAACAAGAGCAGAGTCAGGTACTTTGGACCATCTGTCATTAAAAAAAACACCCAAAAAGTAAATAATAAAAGAAAAAAACGCATTCCAGCCAGCAATTCCTCCGCATCCACATGAAGCACAGCTCAGCAGAGGGAGCGTGTGAGATGTCAGCTTCTTCTAGAACTGGTGTTTAAAACAAGAGTTTTCTGTTTTAAACAGAACTCTCTGTTTGAAGAGTTTAAAACACTCTTTTCTCCTCATCAGCTGCACGGTGGCACCCAAGACTGCTCCCTCCTGTCCCCACGCACCCAGGGGACGATGCCAAAACCCAACAGGACCATCATCCAACTAGGACATGGAAAAACCAGGGATGCCTGCAAGCGAGGTGCCAAAGCCTGGTGTCTGACCAGCTTGGGCTCAGCTCTTTCTTAGGGACTGACTAACCCCTGTGTGGATTCTCTAGTGTCTACAACAGCACAAGCTCTTCACACACACACACACACATCCAGATCCAGGTGCTTCCCTCTTCCTTTTGACCCTTTCTTCCACGATCCCTCTTCTCTTTGGGATATCTGCCTCATTATCAGCTTCGGCTGAGGCGAGCTAACGAATCCAAAAATGGCTGGGAGGGATGGGGGCAATTTATCCAATTTATACAGTGTGTAGCCAGCACAGCTGTGTAAACCTCGTTTCCATAGGAAACGGGGGGTATAATTATCAATCCTTACAAATTATAAATAGCCTGCCTTATCACAGCAGAGGTGTGACCAGAATAGCTGATGTGGCATCTGGACAGACTCCGAGCTGAACAAACACCATCAGTAACAAGAGCAGAGTCAGGTACTTTGGACCATCTGTCGTTAAAAAAAACACCCAAAAAGTAAATAATAAAAGAAAAAAACGCATTCCAGCCAGCAATTCCTCCGCATCCACATGAAGCACAGCTCAGCAGAGGGAGCGTGTGAGATGTCAGCTTCTTCTAGAACTGGTGTTTAAACCAAGAGTTTTCTGTTTTAAACAGAACTCTCTGTTTGAAGAGTTTAAAACACTCTTTTCTCATCGCCCTCAGGGACACAACGGTCAAAAGAAAGCGATCGACTGCTTCTCTGCACAAAGGGCTGCTCTCTGGGTTTTGTTATTTGCTGGATAAGACCCCTGCTTTTCTTCCTCCTTGTCATTCCCTTCCTCCTCCTCCTTCTTCTCCTCTTTCTTTCTCCTGCTTTTTCCTTTCCTTTCCCCTTTCCCCTTTCCCTTCCCTTCCCTTCCTTTTCTCTCCTCTCCTTTCCCTTCCTTTCCTTTTCTCTCCTCTCCTTTCCCTTCCTTTCCTTTTCTCTCCTCTCCTTTCCCTTCCTTTCCTTTTCTCTCCTCTCCTTTCCCTTCCTTTCCTTTTCTCTCCTCTCCTTTCCCTTCCTTTCCTTTTCTCTCCTCTCCTTTCCCTTCCTTTCCTTTTCTCTCCTCTCCTTTCCCTTCCTTTCCTTTTCTCTCCTCTCCTTTCCCTTCCTTTCCTTCTCTCTCCTCTCCTTTCCCTTCCTTTCCTTCTCTCTCCTCTCCTTTCCCTTCCTTTCCTTCTCTCTCCTCTCCTTTCCCTTCCTTTCCTCTCCTTTCTCCTCCTCTGCTTTTGCCTTCCCCTTTCTCTTTCCTTTTTCCTTTCCTTTTTCCCTTCCCTTCCCTTTTTTCTTTCCTCTCCTTTCTCCTCCACTTGCTTTTTCCCTTCCCACTTGCTTTTTCCTTTCCTCTCCTTCCTCCTCTTTCTTTTTCCCTTCCCTTCCCTTCCCTTCCCTTCCCTTCCC